AACGACCGGCCGGACATCGTCCTGATCACGCTCGACGACGTCGGCGTCAACGACCTGTGGGGCAGCGTCGACCTGCCCGCGCTCAAGAAGCTCCGCGCGCTGGCGACGAACGGCGTGCTCCTCGGCGGCTACCACGGCCAGAGCTACTGCAGCCCGGCCCGCGCGAGCCTGCTGAGCGGCAAGTTCGTCCACCGCATCGGCTTCAGCGACCAGGACGGCGGCAAGCGCGAGTTGACGGCCTGGAGCAACTTCAGCGTGCCCCTGGGCCACGAGCTCCTGCCGGAGACGATGAAGCGCCTCGGCTACGCGACGCACGGCATCGGCAAGTGGAACATCGGCCACTGCAACGAGCTCTACGTGCCCTGGAACCGCGGCTTCGACTCGTGGCTCGGCTACTTCTCCGACGGCGTCGGCTACACGAGCCACCTCGCGGACCAGGACTCGTCCTACTCCCTCGACGGCACCCAGTACGAGTTGTACGACATGGCCATCTACGACAAGGAGGCGAACAGCATCTTGAACGGCACGTCCGTGCGGGGGACGTACACGACGTCGCTCTTCAACTCGAAAGCGGCGTCGCTGCTCATGGGCACGACGTCGGCGGCCCCTTTATTCCTCTGGCTCGCGCACCACGGCATGCACGACAACGACGGCGTCGACGACGCGGAGACGTGCGACGAGAGCGCGGACGACGACGACGAGGTTAGCTTGTTCGCGGAGCGCGCGTCGCTCACGGACGCGCGCTTCAAGTTCGCCTGCGGGTTGCGGGCCGTGGACCGGGGCGTGGGCGTCGTCAAGCAGGCCCTGGACGACCGGCCCCGCGACTACGTGCTCGCGGTGATCTCCGACAACGGCGGCGACGCGTGCGGCGCGCACTGCGCGGGGTCGAACTTTCCCCTCCGGGGCCAGAAGTTCTTCGAGTTCGACGGCGGCGTCAAGGTGCCCGCGTTGGTCTACTCGCCGACATTAATTCCCGCGGCGCGGCGGGGGCAGACGTTCGACGGCCTGTTCCACCACGTCGACTGGCTCGCGACGTTCATGGACGCCGCGGGCGGCCACCAGAGTCTGCTGGACCCGAACTACGACTCCGTGTCCCAGTGGGAGTTCATCACGGGCAAGCGGTCCGGCGCCGCGCGCGACACGATCGTCTTCGCGGCGTCGGCGCAGACGGCGGCGATCCGCTCGGGCGACTACAAGTTCCTGTACCGCGTCGTCAACGGCTCGAATCTCGCGCTCGACTGGAACGGCACGGAGGACACGCACTTCGACGCCTGCGAGGGCGGCGTCCAGCTCAGCTTTTTGTTCGACGTGAAGAACGACCCCAACGAGCTCGTCGATTTATCGGGGGACGAGCGCTACAACGAGACGCTCGTCCAGCTCCACGCGATCTGGAAGAAAGTCTACGAGACGGAGTTCTGGACGCCGAGCTCGCCCTTCGGGGACACGTCGAGCGCGGACTCCCCGGCGGCCGTCGCGTTCCAGAAGAACGGCGGCTACGTGACGCACTGGGGCTGCGATGCCATGTCCGGCAACCTTTAATAATATCATGTTTTTAGCGCGACGGCGGCCGCGGCGACGACCGCCGTGCTGGAAAAGTCGCGGCCCCGCCGCGTCATGTTGAGCGCGAAGGAGCAACACGCGACGCGCCAGTCCACGAACAGCAGCAGCACGCGCGCGGCGGCGGCGCTCGAGCCGGCCATCAGAAGCTTGTTCAGCGCGAGCATGTGCGCCTGCGCGAGGACCCGCCGCTTCACGAGCGTCTGGAGAAAGAACTCCATGGTGTAGGCCGCGTTCAGCGAGAGCCAGTAGGCGCGGAAGAAGGGCGCCTCCGGCGCGATGGGCGACGTCGCCGCCGCGTTCGTCGCGTTGAGGCCGTGCAGGAGCGCGTGCTTGTAGAAGACGTACTGGTACTTCTTCACGCGGTAGAGCACGTTCACGAGCGTCCAGGGGTCGCGGCCGCCGCCGTAGTTCTTCGAGAAGGAATTCACGGGGAAGCGGCGCCGCGCGAGCCAGGGCGCCGTCTGCGCCGCGAGGATCGCCGCGCGCTGCAACGGCCGCGCGTAGCGCCGCCGCGCGTGGAGGCCGAGGATTTGTAATAAGTTGAGGCCCTGGTAGAACGCGTGCTCGACCATCTCCGACCGCGTCACGAAGGCCTTGGCGTCGAGCGTGCCCGACGCCGCCGACGCCCGGTGGCCGCCGAAGTCGCGCGCGGCGGTAAACGTCGCGACGGTGCCGAGGACGCCGAGCGCCGCGTCGTAGGCCGCGACGCGCGCCGGCGACCGGTTCGCGCCGCGGCAGGTCTCCAAAACGCCGAGCAGCAGCCAGGCGAGGTACGCCGCCGCGGCGAGGCGGTGCGACCGGCCGCGCCGCGGCAGGAACAGGGTTCTCGCATGCCGCGCGACGACGCTCGCGACGACGAGCGAGAACGCGCCGAGGACGGCCACGGCGAAGCGGTGCGTCGCGGCGAAGTGGTGCGTCGCGGCTGGCAGCATCGTTGCCGAGCTATGCCTACTGAAGGCTTCAGGGATCTCATTTCAGGGCTCTAATTCGAGCCGCAAATCTCATTGAACGTCAACAATTGTTAGTTGCACCAGCATATGCCAGAGCAAAGAACGCCGCTGTAACTATGTGCCGGTGTGCAGGGTTGACTCGGCGACGACCCGCAGGATCATAAAAGGAGACGTTAGGACCGCGGCGGTTTTCGCCGCGGCGCGAAACGACGAACCTAGGCGGCCGTGCAGTCCGGGAGGACGCCCTGGGTGCACATGTCGTAGAAGGGGCTCTTGGGGCAGAGGCTCTTGTCCGTGCACTGGCCCGTGAGCTGGTAGCCCCAGCCGTTGGGCATGTAGCCGTAGAAGAACCAGGGCGGGCTGCCCTTGCCCGGCGGGCCGTAGATGCGGTAGGGCAGGCCCGACGCCTTCTGCGCGTGGATGAAGGTGTCGAGGGCCTTGCCGTTCTCGGAGTGGCCGATGTGGTTGTCGGCGAGGCGGTCGAAGCCGACGTTCTGCGCGGACTTGAAGCACGTCTTGTGGAGCGACGTCTGGTACCGCTCCCAGGCCGCGACGGTCGTCGGGCCCCGCGTCGCCTTGGCGGACTGGACGTAGCGGAACTCGGCGGCGTCGCCCTTGGTCATGGCGCCGTTGTAGGTCTGCATGCCGCCCGTCGCGCCGGCGTCCGTCTTGACGCCCCCCAGGCCGTTCTCGAAGAAGTCGACGTCGCGCGTGAGGTTCGACGTCGCCCAGGAGACGTGGACGAGCGTGAGCACGGGCTTGGAGTCGGCGTCGTAGAGGTGGTGGGCGCTGTCGAGCTTCGCGCGCGCGCTCGCGAGGCTCGAGCGCGACGCCTGGGACGCGCGCGGCGCGTGGTTCCGGCCCGGGCGGCTCGCGAGCGTCGCCGTCGTCTCGCCGAGCAAGAGCAGGTTCAGGAGCGACTTGGCGCCGGCCTTGAGGGAGCCGGGCACCTGGAGGAGGAGCGAGTCGTAGGACGTGCCGCCCTCGGCGAACGTCGCGTGGTGCGTAGGGACCGAAGCGTTGCCGAAGACCCCGGCGTAGTAGTCGAGGTCCTTGGTCAGAAAGGCCGCGTGGGTCTCGAAGTAGGGGTCGTGGGCGCTGAGGTCGCCCATGGCCGCCGTGAAGTCGGCCTCGATGTCCTCCATGGACTTGGACCCGGAATCGCGCTCGTACGCGCCGACGCTGTGGAGCTGCGCGGCCGACTTCGACTTGCAGACGTTGGCGCTCGACGAGCCGTCGTCGATGCAGAGCTTCGCCCACTCGACGCACTGCTTCGTGCTGTTCTCGCGCACGAGCTGCTCCGCCGTGGGGAAGTACTGCTCCATGAAGCCCTTGAACGCAAAGGGGTGGGACATGGCGTAGGTCGACTTGCCCAGGTGGCCGCCGGCGCCGGGGCGCGCGAAGTCCTCGAGGAGTTCCGACGCGAAGTCGTCGGCGCGGGCCACGGCGGCGAGGAGGATCGGGAGCTTCATCGTGGCGCTTTGCTTGGTGCTCGTGATCGCTCGGAAGGCGGCGTTTCGTCCAATCGGAGTCGGGGCAGGGGCAGCATCGGCGCGGCCAGCATGGATATGTCCTTGAGGAATGCCGAATAAATCCATCGCCTTGTGCCATTTTGTTCAATTACATTCTCTCTCGCCCGACGTACGCGTCATCGGACCGCCGGCAGCACCATGATGCGCTGCCTCGTCGCGCTGCTCGTCGCCCCCGTCGCGCGCGCCAACGTGTGCCAGCACTACAACGGCGATAAAGCGGCCTGCGAGAGCGCGGGCTGCCTCTCCGACGGCCTGTGCCGCTGGGAGTCGTGGTCCAATCTCTGCGAGGGCTACGAGGCCGGGGGCATCAAATGCGTCGACGGCGTCGCCGTCATCATCCACGCGCCCACGATCGCCCCGTCGGCGCTGCCGTCGCCCGCGCCCACGCACCTGCCGCCGACGCTGACTTTAGCCCCGACGACGGGCTGCGAGGACGGCGAGGCGCCCTACCGGCTCGCGCTCTACGACTACGGCGAGGACGGCTGGGAGGGCGCGACCTACAGCGTGACCTCCGGCGACACGGTCGTCGCGACGGGGACCCTCGAGCGCGGCGGCGAGGGCGTCGACGGCTTCTGCCTGCTCGACGGGACCTACGAGCTGGCCTTCGGCGGCGGCGCCGACGACGCGGAGACGAGCGTCCAGTTCCTGCCCGCGGACGAGCAATTGGTGACGGCCACGGTGGGCCCCGCGTCCTTCTCCTTCGTCGCGGCCGCGGGCGCCGTCGTGGACGCGGACGCGTCGTCGGCCGGCGGCGGCGGCGGCGGCGGCGGCGGCGAGAGCGCCGACGCCGCGTCGGCGGGCATGTTCGCGGCGTTGGCCCTCGCGGTGCTGTTCCTGGGCGTCGGCGCCTGGTGGGTCGTGCGGAAGCGCCGCAAGGACTCCGAGGAGCCGTCGGAGGACGAGTGCGTCGGCTTCCTGGACATCCGGTCCAAGCTGCGGGACGGGTCCCAGTGGGCCGACACGCAGAAGGGCGTCGAACTGGAACGGGTTGCCGAGCCGCAGGACCAGAACTTCTCCGCCATCGAGGCGGCCCTCGGATCCCCAACCCACGAGCTCTAATGGGCCGCTACCTCCTTCTTAGTCCACGGGGTCGTGGTTGCACTCACGCTTTACGACCTCGCGGCGCAGGTGGCCTTGTGCGTCGGCCAGGCGGCCCGCTGGCACGCCGGGGAGCAGTAGGCCGTCTGCCCGCACCTGCCGCACTTCGCGCGGGCGTCGGCGCCGCAGACGTCGCACGCCCCCCGCGGCCTGGACGCCGCCGCGCGCCTCGTCTCTCTCACGTCCTCGCGCAGGCGCTCCTCGTCCTCGCGCAGGCGCTCCTCGCGCAGGGCCTCGGTGCTCGGCCAGCCGGTCGCCCGGTCGCCCGCCGCCGCGCGCGCCGCGCGCGCCGCGAGGAGCGGGCCGGCCACGGTCGCGACGCCGGCGGCCGCCACGCCCAGCTCGGCGAGGCAGTCGGAGTCTGCTCGGCGGTCGCCCCCGCGCCTCTTGGCCGCGGGCGCGCGGTGCCTCCGACCCTCGGGGTCCCAGGGCGGCCGCGGGCCCGGTCGCTCCGGGAGCATTCGGCTCGCTCGGCAGTCGACGCGGGCCACGCCGAAGCTCGTGGAGTGCGTGGGATAGTGTCGTTCGTGCTCGTAGTACTCGCGGTCGCCGCCGAGCTGCACCAGCGCGCGCGCGCCCAGCGCGCCGAAGACGGCGGACGCCGACACGGCCCGCGAGAAGCCCGGGAGGCTCAGGTCGCCGTTCGGGACCCACTTCATCGTCCGAAGGGAGAGGAACGCGACGTCGAAGGTTCGCGACAGGCGCGGCGCGCCGCCGAACTCGTCGTACTCGTCGTCGTCGCCCTCGTACGATTCCGCCGAGTACTGCGACGATCCCGCGACGCGGGAGTCGTCGGAGTCGTCGTCGCCGGGTTCGTCTTCCCACCTGTCGTCGTTGAGGTGCTCGCTGAGGCTGAGGCCGCCCGCGACGGCGGCGAAGGCCTCGCCTCCCGCGACCACCAGCGCCCCGCCGCAGGACATGCGCTCGGGGTAGCGCTCGAAACGGGCGACTCGGTATTCTTCGTTCGGTATGGGATCGATCTCGAACCAGCGCATGCGCGGGTCGCCGAAGTGGCAGATCTCGACGGAGAGGTCCTTGCCCGTCTTGTACTTGTTCGTGCCGCCCGCGACGACCGCGCCGCCCATGTTCAGGAAGCGGCAGACGCCCGGCGGGACGACCACGAGCGCGAACTCCGTGCGCGGCCGCTTCAGCCCCCCCCGAAGCTCCGACCACGCGTCGTCGCCGACGTCGTAGATGAGCACAGTCCGCGAGAAGGGCTGCTCGCCCAGCTCTCGAACGACCGAGCCGCGCTCGTCGCGGATCTCGTGCATCTCCGCGACGGAGCCCCCGACCACGAACACCTTCGTGGCGCCGGACGCTGGAAAGTGGCGCGAGAAGGCCCGCGCGCCGCTGACGCGCTCCGGGACCGGCGCCAGCTCCGTCCAGGCGCCGGTGGCGAGGTCGAGGACGCCCGCCGAGTCGGTCTTCATGCCGCACTGCGCCGCCTGGCGGCCGCGCCACGTGCGGGTGCCCGCCTCGATGTTCGGCTGGTGGAGCATGGACCGGTGGGAGGACGCGAAGACGCCCGGGTTCGCGGCCGCGTTCCGGCCCAGCTGGGTCACGCCGCCCGCGACGAAAATGCGCCCGTCGGGCAACTCGCAGCAGGCGGCGCCGCAGCGCGCCTCCGGGAGCCTCGCGACGACGTGGAACTCGGACGTCGCGGCGCGGAACGCCACGACGCGGTCATCGAGGACGGCGGGCGGGCCGAGGCCCTCGCGCGCGCCGGGGAGGTCCCAGTCCACGCGCAGGCCGCCGACGAGCAGCGGCGCCGGTGCGCCGTCCTGCGCCGCCACGACCGCCGCGCGCAGCGCCTTGTCCGCCGACCGGAGCCCGCGGCCATAGTTTTCGTCGTAGTCGAGCACGAGCGTGCGCAGCAGCGGCTCGGGCAGCGAGTGCAGCCTCGATGCCATCACTAGGACGCTGGCTTAGGTGTGGTATGGGGCACTAGGCCGATCCCCGATCGTGCTCTCGCTCATCACTAGGACCTGCGTAAATGAGTTGCGTAAATGCATGCAACGTGAAGCGGTAATTGAAGTGTAGCCAATTGCAACACGATGGGCTGCATCCGAACGCGAGGCGGAGCGCTGTGCGGCGCATGATCGAAGGCCAATGCGTCTCGACCGCATCGTGGCGGCCGCTGTCGTCGCCGCGTGCGGCGCGACCTCCGTCGACTCGCTCGTCCGGCGCGTGGAGACGCGCTGCGAGCTGGCCGTCGACGCGCCGCGCGGTTTCCTGCGCGTCTCCGCGCCCCACGGCAACTGGTCCAGCGACGCGCCGTCGACGGGCTTCGAGGCGCGCATCGCGACGGCGCCGCTCCTCTGCGCCGTCGCCGGCGCCGGCGCCGCCGGGCCTCTGGCGCTCCTGTCGCTCGCGACGGACCCGGGCTATCTCGCGTCCACCAAGACGTCCGCGGCGCACGGCACGTCGCTGCGCATCCTCGACGCGTTAGAAGAAAAACGCACGTACGCGTCGCGCCAGAACCTCGAGCTCTTCGTCTGGCTCGGCGCGCTGGCCGACGGCGCGCTCCAGGGCGACCGCTCGAACTGCGGCGAGACGTCGCGGAGCAACGGCCACGCGCTCAAGAGTCTCGCCATGCTCGTCGTCTTTCGATGCCGGCCGACCCTCGAGGCTCTGATCTACGCCGACGCCGACGCCCTGCCCGCGCTGCGCGACGTCGCGCCGGAGACGTATTTGGAGCTGTCGCCGGCCGCGGACGTCGTCGGCGGCGCGAACCCGGGGCTGCCCATCGTCATGAACAGCGGACTGCTGCTCGTCCGGAACACGGCCTGGGCCCGCGACCTGCTCGGTCGTTGGTGGGCGCTGCGGTGCGGCTTCTTCGACCAGTACGCGTTGTGGAAGGCGCTCTTCGAGGCGTGGAAACGCGACGCGGGCTTCGCCTACGACGCCGCCATCTTCGCGGACTACTCCGCCGCGCGCCGCGGCGCGCTGGGCGCCGTCGTCGAGGGGCTCGGGACGCTCGCGGGCGCGCGCTGGCCCCTGGGCGGCGACGCGCGCGCGGTCTTTGCGGAGACGGGGTGCCTGGTGGAACCCTTGGAACTGCCCAAGGTGCTGCTCCTGCCGGTCATGCCCTTCCTCGACGGCCAACACCTCATCCACCCGCTCCAGGGCCGCGTCGACGCGGGCTACTGGGACGCCTGGTTCTGCGCGTTCCGCCGCGTCCCCCGCGCCGCGCGGCCGGCGCGACCGCCCCGCCGCCCGCAGGCCACGGCTTCTGCAACACCTCGCACGCGACGCGGCGGCTCGACGAGCCGCGGCCGAACCGCGGCGACTGGCACGCGTGGCCCCTCGGCCCCGTGCGCCGCTACGCGTCGCCGCGCGACTTTTCGCGGTGCCTCAAGCCCAGGAGCGAGACGCGCTACGTCTGCGACTGCAGCCACGTCGCCGCGCTGCGCCTCGCGGCGCTCGTCTCCGGCGTCGCGCCCGGGCGGTCGCGGCCCCACTAAGTTACGAGGACCGCGGCGGCGGGCTCGGCGGCCTTCTTGAGCTTCCGGAGCTTCGCGGCCGGCCGCTTCCGCCGCTTCGGCGGCTCCGCGGCCGGCGGCGCGGGCCGCGGCGGCTCGCGCTGCGCGGCCGCGGCGCGCTCGACGAGCGTCGGCGCGCGCGCGGCGTCGAGCTTGGGCAGCCCAAAGCCGGGCTTGAGGAGCACGGCGCCGTGCGCGCCGGAGAAGAACGAGGGCTTGTCGTCCCGCCGGTCCGCGGGTTTCCGCGGCTTCTCGCCGTAGTGGCGCACGATGTTCAGCGCGGCGGCGGCCGTCGCCGACGCGGCGTCGCGCGCGAGCTCGAGCGCGCGCGCCTCGCGGCGCGCGAGGTCGAGCTCGACGATCGCGCGGTCGCGCTCGCCGTCGCCGCCGTCGCGCGAGAACCGCGGCGTCACGGGCCGCTCGCGGCTCCGCTGCTCGAAGCGGTTCGTCGGCGAGCTCAGGCTCCAGCGCGCGGCGTCCAATTCGAAGCGCACGCGGAGCGCCGGCTCCGTCTTGAGGCCCATGGCGCCGCCGACGGCGTCCTGCACGGCGCGCACGCACGACGCGGCGCGCCGCAGCCCGGCGTCGGACCGCACGCGGGCGTCGTCGAGCTCCGCCTCGAGCGCGTCGAACTTGCCCAGGAGCCGGTCGCGGTCCGCTTTGGCATCCGCCGCGTCCGCGGCCGCGGCCGCCGCGGCCTCCGCGAGCGCCGCGTTCTTCGTCTCGAGCCGGCCCACCTCGCTCGCGCGCGTCGCCTCCGCGGCGTCGAGTTCGCCGTCCTTCGCCGCGATGGCCGCTTGTTTTGCCGCCTCGTCGGCGAGTTGCTTCGCCGCGAAGGCCGCCCGCTCGCCCTCCAAACGTAGCTCGAGCGCCTCGACCTTGGCTTCGAGCGCGCTTTTGGCTTCCAGGAGCGCGTCCGCGTCGCGCTCGAGGCCGAGCGCGTAGCGCAGCGCCCGCGCCCGCCCGGCGGCGACCCTCGGGTCCGGCGCGACCTCGACGACGGCGGCGCGCCTGCGCTCCGGCGGCGTCGCCGGCCGCACCGCGTTCGCGTGGTGGTCCATCAGCTTGTTGAAGAAGTCCTTGAACTCGGCCGCGGTGACCTTCCCCGAGCCGTCCTCGTCGGCCGACTTCCAGAGCAGGTGGAGCTCCTCGTCGGAGATCTCCTCTTTGGGGATCTCGAGGCCCGGGTGCGCCGTGCCGTAGGCCTTGTTCCGCACGAGCGCCTCGAACTCGCGCTCGCAAATCCTTCCGGAGCCGTCCTTGTCGATGACGAAGAACAGCTTCATCCAGGAGCCCTTGGCGTAGCGCTGGAGCTTCTTCTCGAGGCGGTGCGCGATGGACCAGAGCGCCTCCTGGCTCAGCCACTCCTCCTCCGTCTCCTCCGCCGCGGGCGGCTCCTCGGCCTCCGGGACGAAGTACGGCGGCGCGTGCACCGCCGGCTTGGGCGCCGCCGCCTCGTCGGCCTCCTCGACCGCCGCCTCGGGCTCCGGTTTCGCGGGCTCCGGCTTCGGCGGCGGCGCGTCCGGGTGGTTCGCGAGCACGTTCTGGATGAAGAGCTTGAACTCGGGCGCCGTGACGAAACCGCTGCGATCCGCGTCCGCGGACGTCCAGAGCATGCGCAGCTCCGGGTCCGAGACGACCTTCTTGCCGAGCTCGAGGCCCGGCATGATCGTGTCCGTCGTCTTGTTGCGCAGGAGCGCCTTGAACTCGTGGAACTCGACGCGTTCCGAGCCGTCGTGGTCGACGGCGAAGAAGAGCTTCGCCCAGGAGCCCTTCGCGTGCTTCTGGAGCTTCGCGTCGAGGCGCGCGGCGATGGACTGGAGCAGCTCGCGCGACGCGCCGCTCGACGCGTGGGCGCCGCCGTCCATCTTCGAGTTCGTCGTCAGCGTCTTGGCCTTGGGCGCGGCCGCGGCGCGCGCCTCCTGGTCCCGCAGCTCCTCCATGCGCAGGGTCTGGCGCGTCTGCCGCGGCGCGTTCATCTTCGTCTTGTCCGTGCGCCGCACATCCGCCTCCTGGCCCGGGAGGCGCAGCATCCTCCCAAGGTGAGAGCAGAGCGGGAACGTCGACGTCGGTTTCGTTTCCGCGTCAACGTCGGCATTATGAGGCGTGATTGAGCTTTTGAGAAGAATGATGAGTTTGATGCCAGGGGATGTCGTAGATGACGAGAGCTGGACCGAGGACGAATTCCTCGACGAGGCAGCTCAATGGCTCGAGCTCGGCCTCGAGGGCCGCTGGCCCGAACCTTTCAGCGGCATCGACGATTCTTTTTATGTCGGACTGAGGCAGTGGAGCTCGCGACTCAAATATGCTGCCGTGAAAGGCTGGGTCTCGGCGATCGGCTGGCTGGTCGACCGCGGCGCCGACGTCGATCGGATTGAGCAAGAGTGCGGCTCGCCGCTTCACTCCGCCGCGCAGTTTAACCGCCGCGACGTCGCCGCGGAGCTGCTCGACCGGGGCGCTCGACTCGAGGCGCGCGCGGTAAGAACAAACGCCCACGACGATGTGTCCTATGTGTTGATGCCGCTCCACGTGGCGATCTTGCACGGAAGCTACGACGTGACCCGGCTCCTCGTGAGTCGAGGCGCCTCGTACCAAGCGTGCTTCATGACTTTTCCGAACGAAGCCGACCTGGCGGCGAAACTGGAGAAGGGGATGACCTTGCGCGCGTGCTTCAAGACGTTTACGAATGAAGACGACGTCGACTGGGCGGAACAATTAGACAGAGGGCGGGCGATCCGAATCAAACGCGCCGTGGAGGAAGACGCGCGGATCGCCGACTTCCTCGCCGCCGTGCGCGCCGCGGGCGGCTGGGAGCCCTACGTCGACGCGCCCCGCGCGGAGCTCCTCGCCCTCCGCGAGCGCCTCCTCGACGTCCGCCCTCCCCGCGCGGCGCCGTCGTCGACGGTGGGGGCGCACGCGTGGCTCTTCCTGGACGCGGACGACGACGTTTTTGCGCACGTCCTCGCCTTCTGGCGGAGCGACCGCGACCTCTCTAGGGGGCCCGCCACTGGTTCTTACTCGGCCGCCGCGGCTTGGATGAGGCGGTCGAGGTCGCGGACGAGGGGGTCGTTCTCGGGGTAGCCGGCCTCGTCGACGAGGACGGCGCGCTCGGAGACGAGGCGCGCGAGGTTGTCGGCGTCGTCGACGGGCGCGCCGCGCGGCGGGATCGCCGCGCCGCCGGCGTAGGCCGCGTTGCCGTTGATGGCGTCGAGCGCCGCGTCGTCGAAGACCGCGCGCGGCGACTGGTGCCGCGGCTCCGGCCGCGGCGCGCCGCGCGGCGACGCGGGCGCGTTCCGCATGGCGTAGTGGACCGCCTCCATGGCCGCGTTCTTGGCGACCTTGGCGCGGTCCTCGTCGGCGACGTGGCGCCGGCGGAGCGCGTCGAGCTCCGCCTTGATGTCGCCGAGCGCTTTGCGGTCGCCGTCGAGGACGAAGCGCTCCTCCTTGCCCTTGTACTCGAGCTTGAGCTCGTCGAGGTCGCGCCGCGCGCGGTCCGCGGCGTCGTCCTTGGCGCGCTGGAGCGCGCGCGCGAGGCGGTGCACGTGCGCGCGCAACCGCTCGCGCTCCGCGACGGCCTCGGCGGTCTCCGCGCGCGCGCGCTCCACGCGGCCCTTGTGCTCGGCGGCCTCCGCCTTGGCCTTGGCGACGCGCGCCACGAGCTCGGCCTCGGGCGTGCGCCGGTGCGCCGCGCGCCACCGGTCGAAGTCCGCGTCCGCTTGCACCGCGCGCTTCTCCGCGCGGTCGAGCGACGCGCGCGCGCCCGACAGCGCCTTCTCCACGGCCTTGCGCGCGCGCACCTCGGCCTCGATGGAGTGCTTCGACTCGTCGCGGAGGCGCTTCTCGAGCATCTGGAGGTCCAACACCTTGGACGCGCGCTCGCGCTTCATGGCGGCGTCCGCGTCGCCCAGCGCCCGTTCCCGCTGCTCGACGTCGCGGAGCGACGCGCGGAGCTTCGCCTCGAGGCGGCCGTACTCCTGGCGGTGCGCCATGGTCGCGTTCCGGTCCTGCGCGAGCCGCTCCTCCGCGTCGCGCTCGACCTTGTCGACGATCTGCCGCTCCTTCTCGCGCAACCGCAGCGCCCACGCGCGCTCCTCGTCCGCGCGCCAGGCCTCCCAGTTGCGCCGCTCGGCCTCGAAGGCGAGGGTGAGCTCCTGCTTGAGGTCCGCGACCTCCTGGAGCGACGGCTGCGCCGCGCCGCAGTAGCGGCAGCAGCCGTCGTCGGCGCCCGGCGGCTTGGCCGCCGGCGCGCCGCGCCGCTGCTCCCAGGACCGGCGCTCGACGCCGAGGTCCCGCTGCGGTCGCGCGCCCCCCACATCCCGCGGCGGCTGCTCCGGCGACGTGTGCTCCGACCCGCTCAGGTTGCCGCCGCGCTCGCCCGTCTCCGACAGGCCGTCTTCGAGGTCCTCCGAGAGGAGCGCCGCGGACGACGCGTCGCGCGCGCCGTCCAGGTTCGGCTTCGCGAGCTGGTTCGGGTCCACGCGCTGGAGCGCGACGCGCGTCGCCAGGGACCCGAACAGCAGCGACCCGTCGCGGACCTGCGACTCGCGCTCGAGGAGGTGCGTCGTGCCGCCCACGACGCGCCACGACCGCGGCGCCTTGTCGCCGAACTGGGCCCGCGGGTCGCCCGGCGCGTCGAGCACGGCGGCGAGCTTGACCTTGGCGGACCCGAGGAGCTGGCGCGTCGCCGCGTCGACGGCCTCGAAGACGAGCGCGGGCGCCAAGGTCATGCGGAGCTGGTTCGCCGTCGCGCGAAACTCAAAGTGCGACACCGCGCCCAGGCCCCGGCAGGCCACGGTCGTCGTGTCGAATTCCAGGCGCGCCGTCTTCGCGACGCCCCGCTGGCCGAGGTGGGGCGCCGCGAAGCGGAACTCCGCGGGGCCCTCGTCGCCGTCCGACCGCGTCACGGACAGCAGCGACAGCTCCAGCCGCCAGTCGTGCGCGACGTCCGCGTCGTCCCGCGAGTCCGCGAGCGACGCCGGCGGCGTCCGCGCCGCCGGCGGCGTCCGCGACCGCGGCGGCGCCACGGGCGGCGGCGCCTCGGCCTCCGGCGGCGGCGCGGGCGCCTCGGGCTCGTCCTCGAACGCGTCGTCGCCGTAGTCGTCCGCCGGGGGCGGCCCAAAGGGCGCCGGCGCGTACGTGGCCTCCTCGGCGCCCGCGGGCGGCGCGGTCGCGAAGCCCCGGGGCCCGGCCTTGGCCGGGTCGCGGTCCGCGCCCGCGCGGCGCACGGCCGCGAAGACGTCGAGCCGGCCCGGCCGCGGCGTCGTGTCGAGGAGGTGCGCGGGCCGCCGCGACACCACGTCGAGGCGGAAGTGGTCCTCCGACGCGTGGAACTCGTCGTCGGGCCGCCCCGGCGGCCAGTAGTCGAGGGGCAGGATGGGCGCGAGGTCCAGGGCCGCGGCCGCGACGACCAAATTGTCCGTGCAGAGGAAGACGTCGACGGGCTTCGAGAGCTCCGCCGCGAGCTCCGCCGCGGAGCACCGGAGCCGGAACCAGTCGCACTCCACGGCGAACCGGGGGTTGTCGAGCGTCAGCGCGCCGAACTGCTCGCTCTGGACGACGACGCCCAGCAGCTCGAAGCTGAACCAGTAGCGCATCGACGGCCGCCGGAGCGCGGCCTCGCGCAGCTCGTCGCCCACGAGGTCCTCGAGCTCGCCCGCGCCCTCGAGGGACACGCAGAGCTCGAAGACGGAGCTCCCGCGGCCGAGCTGCTTCGCCGGCAGCGACTCCGGCGGCGGCCGCGGCGGCGTCGACGGCGCGGGCGCCGCCGCCGACGGCCGCGGGTCGTCGCGGTCGCCGCCGGACGCGACGCGCGCGACGGACGCGGCGAAGAGCAGCTCCGCCGGCGCCGCCGCGCCGCGCAGCTTCGCCCACTGCTTCGCGCCCTGGCGCAGGGACCGGACCTCGACGTGGAGCACGCCGAGCGCCTTGGAGTTCGTCGGCGTCGCCCCGACGCCGGGCCCGCCGAGCGTCGCGTAGCAGTAGAGCTTGAGCACGGGCGCCGCCTTCTCCGCCGCGCGGAACGCCTCCTCGCTCCCGAAGCGCCACTCCAGGAGGCCGCCGTCGCCGGCCCAGACCGCCTCGCCCGCGCGCGGCGTGTGCCGCGCGCCCCACGAGCTCGACGCCGTCTCCCGGGACACGCCGTTGAGCTGGCCCTGGACGCGGAGCGTGAACTGATTGCGGCTGCCGAGCTCCGAGACGAAGGACGACGGCAGGTTCTTCAGCGCCGAGATGTGCACCTGCACGGACCACGGGACCTCCATCGCGTCGTCGCTCGGGCCGCGCGCGGTCGTTCAGGCAATGTGTGCGCGCGTCGTGTGGCGCGCGGCGAGTGGTGTTGGACGCGCTCGACGTGCGTCGTGTGGATTGCACGCAGTGGGGTCGTCGATCGCAGTTCGAACTTTGAAAGTCACCAGAGGCAGAGCATTGCGAAGACGATTTTGATTTCCCCTGTAAACCCGTTTAAAGGACACCACATAATATGGAGTCCTGCAGGCACCTCCGAGGCCATCGCTCATCTCTTCGCCACCATACGAACTAGGTGGCGCACTAATCACGTGCAGTTCAGGGAAGAGGGGGCGCCTGCGGGAAGTCCAGCCCTCCCGATTCAAAACGACGCGCGCTCGAGGCGGGAGATTTGAATAGGCAACTCGAGGTTCAACATCGCCCCGGCTGCCCCGACGATGATTGCGATGCGGATGGTCGCGCTCCTGATCGCGATGCAAACCTCGAGAGCCTCGGACACCTGCAACCAGAGCACATATTGCGACACCGTCGCCGACTGCGACGCGGGCTGCGAGGAATGCTATCCAGAAAAGGGGCTCGCCTGGTGCACGACGGCCCTGCGCGACGGCCTCGACTACAATCTCACGTTCACCAACGACGCGGACATGGACGCGGACGTGTCGGCCTGCCGCTGCGGGCGGGGCACGGGCGAGTGCGAGGACCTCGGCGTCGTCAAAGCGAACGAGACGAGGCGCTTCGCCGGCCTCCGTTGGAACCAGTTCACGTACCCGAACGGCGACGTCTGCTACGACTGGCTCGTGGTCAAGACCGGTTCGTCGAACCCGCCGGAGCCCTACTTCCCCTTCAAAGCGTGCCAGCTCAACAACACGGCCATGGCGCGGATCTGGGAGGACGCCGTCGCCCGCGAGACGCCGCGCCTGACGCTCTCCGGCAACTCCAGCCGATACGCGTGCGCGCTAAAGTAGTCCCCACGGCGCGGATCTTAGAAACCCAAATCGCCGATATATACGCGTGCGCGCGGATCTTAGACGCCGAGCCTAGTACCGCCGCCGCCGCCGGCCGTGGAAGAGGGGCACGTCGAACCCGAGGCCCGAGGCCGCGTGGGGCACGCCGACGACCGCGCTGTCGAAGGGCGTCTCCTTGAGCGGCGCGATCTCCGGCTCGTCGTCGTCGTCGTCGTCGTCCTTCGCGACGACCTCCTCCGGCTCCTCCTTCTCCCTCTCCGGCGGCGGCGGCGGCTTCGCCTCGACCTTCGCCTCGACCTTCGCCTCGTCCTCCCGCTTCGCGAGCGACACGGCGACGGGCATCTTCGGCGCCGGCGGGAGGAACGGGAACGCCGCGTCGAAGTCGCCGAGCGCCGGGGGCTCGTCGCCGCGGAGCAGCGCGTCGCGCGCGAGCCGCGCCAGCACGTGCGCGGCGCTCGCGCCCGCGTGGCGCCCCGCCTCGAAGCGCAGGTCCCACGCCGCCGCGTCGCCGGCGTCGCCCGGCTCCGGGCCGTCCGCGCGGAGCCGCCAGTGGCCCGCGCCGTCGAGCCGCAGCGCGAGCGTATCCAGCGGCGCGTGCAACAGCCAGCGGCCGCTCTGGAAGCGGCCGTCCTTCTTCTCCAAAAATAGCCCCTCGCGGCACAGCCGCAGGAAGCAGGGCGCCTCGGCCTCCCGCGACACGCCGAGCTCCGGCGCCGTCGCGAGCACGTTGTAGACCTGGGCAGGAAAAGAGTGCGAAATTCCCAACTTCAAAGGCTCCTATCTCGGCCGTTTTCCACTCGTTTCGGCTCATTTTTGGACGAGCGATCATCTCTCGGAGCGCTCTCGAAGCGTGGGGGCTGTTTCCGAAACGCGCGCGCGCGGAACACTCACGTTGAAGCGACGTTGAATCACCCTTTTGCTGCCCTGTTGTAGACGTGGCTCCCCGCGAGGGGCGCGCCGGCCGCGAACGCCGCGAAGGCCCGGTAGAGCGCGTGCGTCGTGCGCGCCGGGTCCGCGGACGCCGCCGCGAGCGCCTTGCAGCGCTGCAGCACGCCCCCGACGGCCGACAGCTCGCCGTGGTGCGCGAGGAACGCGTCCGCGTCGAGACCGTCGTCCGCGAAAACGTCCGCGTGGTCGGCGCAGAACAGCAGCGCGGCCGCGTAGTCGCGGCAGTTCCGCGGCAGCTCGTAGGCCTGGCTCTTGACGCGCTCGCGCTCGCTGCGGAACGCGTCGGCGACGGACGGCGCGTCGTCCGGTAGAGCCCCGGCGCGCGCGACCCAGTCGAGCCAGAAGTTCTCGTCGCCCCGCGCGGCCAGCACCGGCGGCGACAGCAGCGCCGACGCCGGCAGCGGGACGACGCGCCGCAGCACGAAGGCCCGCGAGCTCGCGCCGCCGAGCGACAGCAGCGCCGTCCGCAGCGCGTCGCCCTCCTCCGCGACGTGCCAGGACAGCTCCATGTCGTCGACGTCGTCCGGCCGCACGTCCGGCGCGACGAAGAGCCCGAACTCGACCCGCGACCCGCCGGGCAATAAACGCTCCGTGAGCCGCGCGCCGCTCAAAAACGCCGCGGCGTCGACGGACACGCCCTCGGACGCGCCCTCGACCGCGTGGCGCCGGCACCGGAGCGTGACCCGTCCTTTCTCGAGCGTCTTCCGCAGGAGCACCTGGTGGAACGCGGACCGCGGCGCCGTCGCCGTCGTGACGCCGTCGAGCGCGTCCGTTAGAGCCCGCGCCGTGCGCTCGCACGCGGCCGCCTCGGCCGCGCAGGGGCCCTTCTCGCGCTCCGCGGCGACGGCCGTCGCCAGCAGCGCCGCCGCCCGGGGGTTCGGCGCGCGCGATAGACGTAAAATCGACAGGAGCAGCAGCCACAGCTTCGACCGCACGCGGTCCGCGAGGTCGTCTTCGAGCGAAAAGCACCCGAGGGCCGCCGCGAGCCGCGACACCGCGGCGTCGGCGACGTGCGGCGACGCCGCGGCCAATACGCACACGTCCAGCGCCGCGTCGAAGCCGCCGTCGTCGTCGTTTGACGCCGCCGCGGCCGCGAACGCCGCCAGACGCTTCTTCGCGTCCGCGTGCTTTTCGCGTAGAGCCAGCGCGTCCGCGCCCTCGTCCAGAACCAGCGGCGCGCCGTCCCGGGAGAAGGCCCGGGGCCCGCCGGCGCCGCGCACGCCGCAGAGCCGCGCGAGGCGCCCCGCGGCGCCCGGGAGCGCCGCCGCGCCGCCGTCGGCCTCGAACCGCCGCGCGGCGAAGCGCGCGCGCAGCTCGGGGCTTTCGACCCCCAGCTCCTTGGCCAAACTGGAAAACGCAAAGTAGGAGAAGTCGTCGCCGCGCCGCTCGGCCTCGCCGGCCTTCCAGAGCAGCGCCTCCGCCTCGCCGTCGCAGCAGACCGCGTCCTCGCCCCGCGCCGCGTACGGCGCGCCGTTTAAGGCGTGGGTCTCGTCCACCACAGCCACGCAATCGCCGCAGGCGTCCAAATCATAGATCCGCAGGGCGTCCTCCACGTCGACGGCGTCCGCGGCCGCATCGACGGCGTCCAGGAGCGCCGCGGCGCCCCGGACCAAACCGCCGGGCACGGCCGCCGCGACGAGCGGCGACCGCCGCCGCGCCAGCCGCTTCGCGTCTTTCCACGCGGCCTCGAGCGCCGCCCGCTTGGCCGCGTCGCGGACGGCGGCGCGCGCGCCGGCGACGCCGGCGTCCGACGCGAGGTCCAGCGCGAGGTCCGGCCATCCTTTGAGCGCTTGCTCCAGCCGCTTCGCGACGCGCCGCGCGCGCAACACGTCGAGCTGGCGCTTCGCCTGCTTGACGGCCCGGTCCCGGAGGCCGTCGCCGCCGCGGGGCGGCGCGTCCGCGAACCAGGCCTCGAGGGCGGGGACGTCGCCCCGGACCGCGGCGGCGATCGCGCCGTCCGCGGGCGCCGTCGACCGGCTACTCTCCGCGAGGAGCTTCGACCGCACGTCCCGGAGCCACGTCGGCCGGTGGGCGTCGTCGGCGGCGTCGTAGTCGACCTCGGAGACGGCCCGGCCGTCGGCCGCGGCGACGCGCGCGAGCACGAGGAAGCAGCGGCACCGCGCGGCGTCGGAGGTGCCGACGGACTCGTAGGCGAGCCGCGCGGCCCGGAGCACGTCGTAGGCGTCGAGGGCCTTGCGCGCCCGCGCGAAGCGCGGCAGGGCCGCGTCGCGGCCGTCGCAGGCCGCGAGCGCGGCGCGGAGGTCCGCGTCCTTGGGCTCGGGCGCGTCGTCGCCGGCCGCGACGCGGCACGCGTCGCGGACGCGGCCGCAGAGCCCCGCGAGGCGCGCGACCTCCGCCGCCCGCGCGTCGGCGAGGGCCGCGGGCGGCGGCAGGCCCGCCCGGGCGAAGACGAGCCACGCGGCGTCCAGGGCCGTCGCGTCGGCCGCGGCCTCGGCGGCCGCCCACCCCCGCTTCGACGCGTCCGCGGCGTCCCGCGCGACGGCGAGCGTCGCGGGGAGCGAGCTCCGGTCATTGTGGGCGCCCGCGGCCGCGAGGCGCCCGCAGTAGGCCACCGTCGCCGCCACGGATGCGCCGTCGCCGTCGGCGCGGAGGTTTCGGAGCGCGCGCCGGAGCTCCGCCGCGGCGTGCTCGCGCCACGCGTCGCGCTGCGCGACGCCCGCGCGCTGGCCCAGCGTCCCGACGAGCCTCGCCTCGAGCGCGTCGGCGCCCTCGGCGAAGACGTGGGCCTCGCTCGCGCGCAGCGCGCCCGCCTTGAGCGAGAAGAGGTCGTCGTCGCCCGCGGCCGCGTCCTTGGCCGCCTTTAAAGCGCCGCGCGCGGCCGCGGCGACGTCGCGCGCGGCGTCGCGCACCTGGGCGTCGAGGGCGCCGCCGCCGACGCTGCGGCCCATGGCCCGCTGGTAGCTCCGGAGGCAGCGCTCGCACTCGTCCGACCGCCGCGTCTCGATCGCTCGGAGGCAGTCCGCGCGCCACGCTAGAGCCGCCGCCTCGACGTCGGACCCGGCGCAGCGCGCGACGGCGTCGTAGTAGAGCATGGCCCGGTCGCGCGCGAGCCACGACGGCAGCGCCGGGCGCTTGGACGACGCGGCCGTCGCGGCGTCGTCGTCGCCGTCGTCGTCCGAGCTCGTTTCGTCGTCGACGGCGACGTCCGGCGCCGGCGCGGCGCCGAAGACGGCGCCGGGGGCCGTGAGGGGCGCGACGTCGACGCGGGCGCTCCCCCGCTCCACGCGCTCGACGCCGAGCGCCGCGCAGGCGTCGCCGCGCGCGGCCGCCGCGAGCAGCGTCCGCGCCTGCGCGTCGTCGAGGTCGAGCTCGAGCGTGCCGTCGCTCCCGGCGCGGTAGGCGGCGACGCGCGACTCGAGGATGCGCTCCTCGATGGCGGCGATCGTCGCGGACCCGGCGACGACCGTACCGCGGCGGCTCGCGAACGCGCTCCGCCGCAGCGTCACGCGGCGCCCCGTCGCGCGGCGGCCCAGCGGCGCGAGGGCCCGCAGGGCGCTGTGGCGGCTCCGCGCGCCGCCGAAGCGGAGGCGCACGTCGAGGCGGTGCTTGGACCGCGCGGCCGCGTCGGCGAGCGCGCCCGCGGCGCGCGCCGCGGAACAGCCGGAGCACCGGTCGCCGTCGACCGCGACGTCGACGAGCGCGCACCGCGGGCCCGCGGCGACGACGGCGCGGGCGAGGTACTTGGCGCCCTCGTCGGAGACGTCGCCGCCGCGCACGTCCAGGGCTTCTAGACCGTCGACGCGCGTCGCGAGCGCGCCGAGGACGCCGTCGTCGACGCCGCAGCCCGCGAGCCCGAGGCGCCGCAGGGCGCGGCAGCTCGCGGGCCGGTCCGCGACGACGCGCGCGACGTGGCCCGCCGACTTGGCCGTCAGCCGGTTCCAGCTCAGGATTAGGGTGTCGAGGCGGCACGGCGACCGCGCGAGGAGCCGCGCGACCGCGTCGCCGCCGGCGTCGCCGATGCGGTTCCCGCGCAGGTCCAGCGTCTCGAGCGCCGCGTTGTCCATCAGCGCGGCGCAGAGCCGCGCCGCGTCGCCGTCGTCGAGCCCGGCGCCCGCGGCGCGCACGACCTTGATGCGTGCGAGGGACGGCGACGCCCAGAGGGCGTTCCGCGCGGCGCCGCTGCAGCGGTGCAGCGCCCGCGACACGTCGAGCGTCTCGCCGTCGTCGGCCCAGCGCTCCGTGAGCGCCGCATCGTCGAGGGAGCCGTAGCGGGCGGCTAGCGCCAGGGCAGCCATAACAGGCGTTTTTAATAGCGCGACAAGTTGAAGAGTGCACGTTCCAAACGTTTCCCCTGAGAAGGCCCGGACGATGACCTCGCGCGCGGAGTCGGTCCGCCGAGTGATCCTCGGGCTGGGCCTCTCCCCGCCTGATCAATGGCTCCAGTCGGACCAGATCGCAGGCTATTTTGAAAGGATGGTTGCCTGCTCTATCGGGCAGACCACGGCGGAATTCGAAGAGACCCTGCGGGACTCGCTCCAGGAGGCCTTTGCGGCCAAGCACCAGGAGGCCATGAAGTTTCCCGTGTTGAGCGAGGCCGCGCTCGAGCAGCCCGCCGTGCCTTCCCTCCCAGAGCGCCCCGTGGAGGCGCCCGCGCCGGGCCCGAAGAAGGCCCGCGTCCACGTGGCTACGCCGCTCGAACGGGAGATCAAGGACGTGCTGGGCAAGGGCTGCTCCATCTGCGGGGAGAGCTCCGCCAAGCTGCTCTGCGTCTGCAAGACTTCGCGCTACTGCTCGGTTCAGTGCCAGCGCGTCGACTGGTCCCAGCGCGGCCACCGGTCGGTGTGCCGCAAGATCCGCGAGCGCGCCGAGGCCGCGGCGCGGCACGAAGAGGTGCAGCGCGAGGAGGCGCCGCGAGACGAGCCGCTCTATGGCCCCGCGCCGCGCTCGTACGCGGACGACGTGCGCGACAGGATCCGCGCGGAACACGAGGCGGCGCGCGCGCGGCGCGAGGCGGAGCCGGAGCCGAAGCCGATGTCGGCGCGGTTTGGCTCGCGCTGCCCGATCTGCTTGGAAGGCTGGGACGTGAGCGCTGATGGGGAAGCTTTCATGACTTGCTGCTGCTCAAAGATTTGCATGTCGTGCACCCTTAAAGTTTCGACGGGGGCGTGTCCTATTTGCCGAGCGCCTGTGTCGATTAACGAGGCGCATCTAATGGCGAACGTATTGCATCACGTGAACAACGGAGTTACAGAGGCTATGATCTATCTCGCATCCGCATACATGAGCGGTGAGCATGGTGCGGTGAGGAGCGGGAAGCGGGTTCTGAAACTGCTGGAACGCGCGGTAGAGCTCGGTGATCCGACTGCATGTCTGCATCTTGGGGTGTTGCTTTATGATGGAATGACTGGCGTCAAAATCAATCGAAAGAGAAGTAAGCTGTTGTTCGCTCGCGTCGCGGCCTTGGGCCACGCTGAAGCATATTTTCGAGTCGCGAAATCGGGAGGACACGTTCTCGGACGTTCGTACCAGCTCAAATACTTTCGTCTCGCCGCAGATTTGGGGCACGCCAAAGCCAAGGCAAACCTTGCCATGATGTACGAGTTATCGGGACCGGGACAGGATCTCGTCGAAGCAAGGCACTTGTACGAGAGCGCGGCCACAAAGGGGTACGCACCCGCCCAAAACGCCCTCAGCCGGCTAGACACCCACGGCCTCGGCTAGCCCGCCGGTTAATTTGTGTCAAAGCGACAAGTTAAACCAGCCCCGCCGTGTTCGCGACCGTGTTCGCCCGCCGGGCCACCATGCTCCGCGTCGGCAACGACCGCTGCGCCTCGCGCGCCTCGCGCTTCCACAGCTTCGCCATGGAGAGCTTGCCGCAGCCGACGCGCGCGCCGAGCCCCCGCAGCAGGAGCGACACGCGCGTGACGAGCATGTAGGATTTCGGGATCTGGACGACCGTGTCGTACTGCTCGAGCTCGACCAAAAACGCGTAGGGCGACGCGTCGACGACGTCGACGTCGAAGCACTGCGTCGCGAAGGCCAACATCAACGTCTCGTTCATGTGCCGCGACACGAAGCCCATGTCCGCCAGCGTCGCCACGATCTCCGGCTCGTCCCGGCGCTCGAGGGCGACGTAGAGGTCCGCGAGCGTCCGCCGCTCGTCCGCCGAGAACCGCAAATAACACCCGTAGTCGATGAGCGCGATGCGCCCGTCCTCGAGGAGCATGACGTTGCCCGGGTGCGGGTCCGCGGAGAAGCCGCAGTCCGGCGAGAAGATCATGGCGCCCTGGGCCGCCGCGACGTCGCGGAGCGCGGACGACGCCGCGCGGCGCAGCGCGAGGTAGCGCCAGAGGCGCAGCGGCGCGAAGCGCGTGCGCTCCGCGGCGGCCGCGCGGCGCTCGAGCTCGTCGCGGAGCGACCGGCCCGCGAGCCAGTCCATGGTCAGCACCTTCTCCGTCGTCAAGGCGCGCTTGGACCGCGGGATCGTCACGCGTTTCGGGCCGTTCCGCTCGACGAACGCCGCGCAGGCGTCCATGCGCCGCGCCTCTTCCGCGTAGTCGAACTCGCCGGAGACGCGCTCGCGGAACTCGTCGACGGCGGGCAATAGCGCGGGCTTGACGACGCGGAGCACGCGCCGCACGTTCGCGAGGTCGCTGAGGATGAGGCGCCGGCCGCCCGGGAACATCACCTTCACGGCGACGGTTTCGTTCGTCGCGCGCACGACGGCCCTGTGGACCTGGCCGATGGACGCCGCGCCGACGGGCACCTCGTCGAAGGCGCGGAAGAGCTCGCCCACGGGCCGCTCGAGCTCGCGCTCGAGGACCCGCTTCGTCGTCGTCCACGGCCGCGGCGGCGCGTCGTCGACCATGAGTTCGAGGCGCCGGACCCACGCGTCCGGCAGCAGCTCCGGGAACGCCGTCGAGATCAGCTGCGCCGACTTGACGTACGCGCCCTTCATGTCGACGACGAGCTTCTCGAGGCGCAGCGCCGTCGCCTCGTGCACGGCGTCGAGCTCCCGCTCGCGCCGCAGCAGCCGCGTCTCCGCGAGGAAGCGGCCGTAGCAGAGGCCGATGCGCGCGAGGCCGCACTCGAAGCGCGCGCTCCGCCGCACGGGCCGCTGGCTCGCGGCGCCGGCGACGGCGACGGCCGCGAGCGTGCGCTTCTTGCGCAGCAGCGGCGGCACGGCGGCGAGCCACGCGCGGCCGCCGTCGTCGCCGGCGGCCGACGCGCCGAGGCCGCCGAAGCGCCGCGGCGGTGCGAGCGCGTCACTGCAGCGCGCCGTGACGAGTAGCAGCAAGAGCGGTCGCATGAGTTGCCTGCAGCGCGTGTGCAGCGGCGTCGTCATCATGCCTGAGAACGTGTGCAGCGGCGTCATCATCATGCCTGAGAGATTGAGCATGTTGAATGTAGCATGTTGAATGTACAAGGTGTCAAATTTACCTTTGGCTTGAAACTCCCGACCTCGGGCTGCTCGGCCGCATCTCTCCGCCAGTTCCTTCGTCGCGCCGGCTCCAGCCATGGCCGACGAGGAGGGCTGGGTGAAGCAGCAGAAGAAGACCTTCACGCGATGGGCCAACACCTACATGCGCATCCACGCCACCACCAAAGACATCGGGGACATCTACACGGACCTCAAGGACGGCGTCAAGCTCATCGCGCTCATCGAGTCGCTCTCCGGCAAGCCCTTCCCCATGAAGTACAACAAGAAGCCGAAGATGGACGCGCAGCGCCAGGACAACCTGAAGATGGTCTTCAAGTTCCTCAAGGACTCGAAGATGCCCCTCGTCAACATCGGCGCCGAGGACATCACGAAGGAGAACCACCGCATCATCCTCGCGCTCTTCTGGGCCTTCATCCAGTTCTACTCCGTCAACTCGATCACGCTCGACGGCGTGTCGGGCAAGGAGGGGCTGCTCCTCTGGTGCAAGCGCCAGTGCGCGCCCGACGGCGTCACGGTGGGCAACTTCCACCGGTCCTGGTTCGACGGCAAGGCCTTTTTGGCGCTGCTCCACAACAACGTGCCGCACCTCGTGGACTTCGAGGCCGCGTCGAAGCTGCCCCAGGACGACGCGCTGGACCTGGCCTTCGAGACGGCCGAGAAGGCGTTCAACGCGCGCGCCGCGTCCTGGAAACGCGCCCCGCGACGCCTCACCCGCGCCGTTCGCTAGGTGCCCCAGATCATCAACGTCGAGGACATCGTCGACGCGCCCAACGGCAAGCCCGACGAGAAGATCGTCATGACCTACCTGTGCCTGCTCTACATCGAGATCAGCAAGCTCGCCGTGCAGCAAAAGGCCGTCAAGTCGATCCTCCAGGCCGTGGAACTGACGAAGAAGCACAAGGAGCTCGCGGAGTCCTACGAGACGGGCGCCGAGGCGCTCTTAGAATGGATCGAGGCGACGAGGAGCACCTACGAGAACGTCGCCGAGGGCGCGTCGGGCCACGGCGACACGTCGGCCAAGATCGGCGAGAACATGGCGGCCTTCGTCGGCTACCGCCGCGCGACGAAGCCGCCGAAGAAGCAGGAGCTCGACGCTCTAGCGGGCATCCTGGCGACCCTGAGCCAGTCCTGCGAGAACAACTTCCGCCCGAAGTACGCGCCGCCGGCCGAGCTCGCCCCGGAGCTCCTCGCGGGCGCCTGGAAGGCGCTCGAGGCGACGGAGGGCGCCTACGAGACGTCCATCTCCGCGTCGTTCGCGCGCTTCGTCGGCCTCGAGGAGTTGTTGGGCAAGGTGAGGGTGAAGATGGCCAAGACCGACGCCTTCCTCGACGAGGCGCCGCCGGCCGTCTTCGGCGCGACGGAATACGGCGCGACGGCCGCGGAGGCCACGGGCCTCCTGGAGTCGTGCCGCCTCACGGCGTCGCAGCTCGACATCGCCTCCGAGGTGCCCGCCCGGGTCGACGAGAGCCTCGCCGGGGCCGAAGGCGTCGAGCTCCACGCGTCCTACGGCGCCGTCGCCGCGGCGAGGGGCGCGCTCGCCGGCCGCTTCCCGTCGATCGCGGACCTCGCGGCCGCGCGGGCGCGGAAATTGGAGGTCGCCATCGCCGAGTTCGAGAAGCGCCGGTCCTGCGACGACGTGCTCGCCTGGATCGACGACCAGATCCGCGTCTTCAAGCTCAAGGACGAGTCCGTGCCGAGGAACACGATGATCGAGGTCACGCGGCTCGAGCTCCACCTGGACCGCGAGTTCAAGGAGGGCTGCGAGCTCTACCGGGAGAAGTGGGCGGCCATCGTGCCCTACGAGGGCGCGGACGCGTCGGCGGCGGCCGTCGCGGGCCTCGAGGCGCGCCTCGCCGAGGTCGCGGCCCACTGGTCCGACATGGAGGGCCGCGCGGCGGCGCACCGCGCGTTACTCAAGGAGCGCCACGACTGGCTCCAGGATCTGCTGGACACGAAGGAGCGCTACTCCGTCGTCGCCGGCGACCTCGCGGCCAAGGGCCGGGACCTCGAGCTCTTCCTGCGCACGCCCATTTTTGTCGACTCCGAGGCCGACGTCGTCGCGGCGACGGCGACGTACGACGCGCGCGTCGACGATGCTCAGACGGAAGGCACGCTCACGTCGCTCCAGCTCGTCTTCAACTCGGAGGCCTCGGTCCTGGGCGCGAAGCTCCAGGCGGCCATCGACGCCGGCGAGGAGGACGCGGCCGGGTCCTTCGAGCGCTACGACGTGCCCGACCTCTCGAAGCTTTTGACGGAGCTCGACGCGCTCGCGATCGCGTACCGGGACTACCTCGAGGAGCTCCTCGCGCTCGAGCGGGAGAAGGAGCGCCTGCGCGTCCTGTTCGCGGGCATGTGCGACGCGGAGAAGGACAAGATCGCCGCGGAGGCCAAGGACCCGTTCGTCTTCGAGGCCTGGGTCTACAAGGAGTCGGAGCTCTTGGCCGCGCTCCGCGCGAAGCGCGAGACGTGGACGGCCATGAAGGACGCGGCCGTGCTGGCGCTGTCGCCCGTCGCCGAGGAGCTCGCGGCCCGCGGTGTCATGGCCAACCCGCACACGTCCGAGTCCGTGACGACGATTCGCTTGACGTACGAGCTCCAGGAGCGCGACACCGACGAGCTCGTAGAGAGGGCGGAAGCCTTGGTCGCCGACGTCGCCAAGCTGGAAGAACGAAAGGCCGAGTACGTCGAGTCCGCGGGCATGTTCCGCGACTGGATCGACGGCGTCGCGGACCGCTACCGCAACGTCGCGGAAGGCGCGGCGGGCTTCGGCGCGTCGTCCGCCGCCGTCAAGGCGAGCCTCGAGAAGTTCTACGAATACAAGACCAACGAGAAGGTCGACCTCCAGTCGACGGTGGGCGCCCTGACGAAGTCGCTCGCGGAGCTCCACGCGGACCAGGCGAGGATCTTCCACGACGCGTTCTCGCCGCCGACCGGCCTGTCGGCGAAGCTCACGCAGATGGGCCTCGTCGGGTCCATGACGGCGCTGGAGACCGTGGACAAGCCCTACGAGGCGGCGCTGCGCAACGCGCACCTGCGCATCTGCCAGATCGAGGCGGACCTGCAGACCATGGACGCGCGCCTCGACACCTGCAACGACTTCATCGCGGAGCAGAAGGCGCTCTTCGACTCCCACAACTACGGCGACAACCTGGCCACGGTCAACGCCCTCCTGGAGAACGTGCACCTCGACAAGAAGCTCGGCGGCGTCTGGGACGAGACGCTGTCCACGCTGAAGGCGACTTTGGACTCCGGTTCGATGGACGCGCACGAGAACCGGCCGGTCTTGTTGGAAAAGCACTACGCGGTGCGCACGAACTTCGACGGCGTCATGGCCCAGGCGCCCGAGTACTACCACAGTTTAGGCCAGTCGAAGATGGAGTTCGAGAAGCTCGCGACGCTTCTGGAGCCCGCGACGTGGATCGAGGCGACGGCCCGTCTCTTCGACGAGGAGCCGTGGCCGCGGCCGCCGGGGGCGCCGAAGCCCAGCGCGTCCGAGGTCCAGCAGGCGCTGCACGTCTTCGACCTCAACTTCACGTCGCGCGTGCCCACCGTGCGCAAGGCCGTCCAGGACGTGTCCGACGCGTCGACGATGTCGCGCGCGTCGAAGCGCCAGTCCATCAAGTCCTGCATGGACGAGGTCGGCCGGTTGGAGATGGCGTTGGGGGCGTTGGAGAACGACGCCGACGTGCGCTACGAGGCGCTGCAGAAGGAGGTCGAGGCGCTCGCGGACGTCGCGGACAAGAGCCGGGAATACGCGACGGCGGCCGTCGAGCTCGACGTTCTGTACTCGACGCTCGAGGAGGAGCTCGCCGCGGAGCCGAGCGGGTCGCTGGGGCTGGCGAACGTCGAGGCGCAGATCGCCGCGTTTGATGAATCGACGACGGCGCTCGCCGCGAGCATCGACGAGAAGTTCGGCGAAATGGCCGCGCTCGCGGAGTTTTTGAACAACTGCGGCTACGCGGAGGCGCGCGCGGCCTTCGGCCGCTTCACGGTCCGGTCGTTGAGCGACCGCAAGGACGCCTGCCTGAAGGCCGTCGTCGACCGCGGCGAGCTCTTCCGGGGCCCCGGCGGCATTTTGGAAATCGAAACGGCCAAGGAGAAGCTCCGCGTCGACTTCGCCGCCGCCGCCCGGGAGTTCCGCGACGACACGGCGTCCAAGGCCGCGAAGATCGAGGGCAAGGCGCAGACGCCCCGCGGGTCCGTCGTGTCGCCCCTGCGGCGCATGTCGAAGATGTTCAACGCGGGGCCCAAGGTCGACCTCGACGTGCAGCTCGCGGGCATCCGCCAGGTGAAGAAGGACTACGACGAGGGCGGCCTGCTGGCGCCCTGCGAGGCGCTGGCGACGCAGCTCGAGGCCCAGCAAATCCGCGTGAACCCGCACACGCGCGACAACATCTTCACGCTGCGCGCGGCCGGCGGCGCGTTCGCGGACAACTACAAGCGGTTGGAGGCGTCGCTCCTCGCGCAGAAGGCCGTCGAGGAGGGCCGCAAGATCTCGCCGGAGAAGCTCGCGGAGATCCGCGAGAACTTCGACGAGTTCGACTCGACGGGCGACGGCGAGCTCACGGAGTCGGAGTTCCACAGCGGGCTGACGTCCGTGGGCATCGCGATGTCCAAGGAGAAGGTCCAGGAGAACTTCGAGAAGCTCAAGGATCCCGACACGGGCCGCATCGTCTTCGAGACGTTCCTGCCCTTCATGGAGGCCCACCTCACCGTGCGCGGCGCGAGCCAGAGCGACGTCCTCACGGCCTTCTCGGACCTGCTCCCCAAGGCCGACGGCGACGCGCCCGCGGCGCCCGTCATCTCCATGGGCATGCTCGCGCGCTCCGTCCACGACCACGACCTCCTCGAGTACCTCACGGCGAACATGCCCAAGGCCGAGCCGCCGAAGAACGGCGAGGGCCTCTACTACGACTGCACGGCCTTCGTCGCCGACCTCTTCAAGCAGTGAGCGCGGCGCGCGCGTCGGAGGGGTAACTTTCCGTCACGGTGCCGCGCTCTCGCTCGATCGATCGAGCCTGGGACTGTGGCTGGACTGTCGAGTGTCGCACCCCGCGCCGTCGAAAAAGCGGCTCGACGAGCAGCGCGCCGTGGGACCGTCGCGCGCACAGCATATCAACGTCCGGCGCGCTGCGGCACCGTCGCGCGCACAGCTTCTCGACGAGCAGAGCGCCGCGCGGTCAGTGTTGCGTGCATCGCTTGTCGACGAGCGGCGCGCGCGCGCACGGTCGCCGCTCCCCGCGCGCGAGCCGCTGGCTCCGCAATGTCAGCGTTGCCATCGACCGTGCTACGCTCGCCTGATGTGTTGCTCGAAATCCTGCACTACGTCCGCGACGGCGCCGACTTCCTGCAATGCGAGCTCGTGTGCGTCGCGTGGCGCAGAGCCGTCGGCGCGGAGGCGCTCTGGGAGCCGCGGCCCATCCACTATGGAGACTTCCTTCTAATACATGCTGCCGCGGGCAGGCGCAGCGTCCTGGAAACCGCCGCTCTCCATGCGATAGGAGACCTCCAACGCAGCAAAGAATCAGCTTTTGACAGCGTCCTCGGCACCATCAAATTGCGAGGGCTCATCGAGTCCCTCTACAACCGCTGCTCCCATCATGATTGTCCGCGGCCTCGTTTCACCGACGGCGCCGTTTTGGCCCTGTGCGAGATCGTGGAAGTGTGGATGGCCAATATGTTGGAGGCCTCTCTGCGTCTTTCCATACACCGCGTGCGTACAATTGAAGGAAATGACGACCCAGAGCTTCCTGCAATGCCAGAGAACGGCGCCATCGTGGGCGCAGTCGACTTGACCTTACAACTGATACTGTACAAACATAACACTGGGCAGGAATCTGCCAACTCGACGCTCATAAACATTGATAATTGGCTTGATGGAGTTGAGCAGAGTGCTACTAGCCATGGGATGGATCTGACAGAACATGGCTCCTGCGGGCAGATGACTAAGGAACGTCGCCAGCGGATTCTCGACCAGCTTGCCAGTGAATGCTCGAGTTCTGAGTGTACGCGCATCGTGCGGCGTATTGCGCGGCGAGCTGGTGTCGCCGGTATCACCGGAGCCACGATGGATTCGGCCTTTTGCTATTGCCTCGGCGCCCTTGGCGCAATTCTCAAGAACGTGTATCACCTCCACGAACCCATCGTTTCTGCATCGGAATTGCCGCCGAGCGACGATGATGACTACTCGAGCGTAGATGAAACTTCGGACGATGAGGATTCTACGCCTCGCTATCTTCCAGGTCTGGAGCTTGAAAATTGGGTGCAACCAGAAATTCGCTATCCTCGAAGCTCAGCCGCGCCCCTCACAGTCAACTCCGCCACCGTCGCCTATGCCGCTGCCGCCCTCAAAATCGTCGACAGCTACTATCCATCTCGACTTGACGATGACTCAGACTCGGAGGACTCGGGTAGCAGCTCGGACGAACAACCGGACGAGTCAGCTCAACGTCTTCTATCATCAGCTTCTCTTGCCTGGTTATTTTGACGGCCTAGTACGCAGTAGTTTACTTAAGAGCATTTGAACTCGTGCATCAAGCATGCTTCAACAGCAGGACGTTTCCCTCAAAGAAAGGAGCAAAACCTCGGGGGCAGCGTCGTCTGGAGAGCTGCGCCGTCGGCGCTTCCGAGTTTCGACCAGACCCGTTCGAACGTACGGAGGACCATGCCGGACGAGGACATCTCGCTGGACTGGGAGTCGATCATCCTCAAGCTCGCCGTGCTTCTCTTCTCCTACGTGCTCGTCGTCGTCCTGACCATCGCGCCGCGCGCCGCCGGCGCCTCCGCAATAAAGCAATTTCCCACCGCTATGGCACACAGGTGGCTCATCATCCGCTGCCGCGCGCGCTACCGGGTCGTGCACCTCGAGTGGAACTGCCGCGCGTGCCGCACGGCCCACGCGGCGAGCCACAGCGAGCGCCGCGTCTGCCGCCACTGCGGCAAGCGGCGCCACTTCGTCAACCACGCGCCCCTCGGCGTGCCCGCGGCCTGCGTGTTGATCGCGCTCTACGGCGCCCTCGCGGGCGTCTTCGGCGGCGTCATGCTGCGCTACGAGGGCGCGCTGAACAAGAAGCGGCTCGTGAAGCTCGGCGACGTCCAGCTCTCGACGAACTACCAGATGAGCGAGGCCTTCAACGTCCACACCATCGACATGCCCATGACCGTGAAGATCGAGTACGCCGAGCTTTATACCGATTTACCCGTGCACATCGACCCCATGCTCATCGTCGTCACGTACGTGCGGCGGAGCGAGTACTTCAAGCAGCAGATCGGCCGCGCGGAGGTGCCGGCGCTGAAGATGTACCCCGGGGACTCGCTGTCCGTGTCCATGACCATGCACGTCGAGATGGAGAGCGACACGCTCGCGTCGATGATGCGCGAGATGGCGTCGACGGGCGCGACGCTGGAGATGGGCCCGTCCGTGCTCAACTACGAGATCCGCCCGGGCCGCATGGTGTCCTGGGTCCTGGGGAACAGCGACCTCAAGGTCCAGACGACGGCCTACTGCGCCATCGTCTCCACGTTCCAGGACGTCGTCCTCGCAAACTGCTCGGACCAGGGCGAGACGGAGGAGCAGTTCTCCGAGTTCATGAACCCCTACTTCATCCTGCTCACCGTCGCCGGCTGCGGCGCCTGCGCCCTGGCGACGGCCTTCTTCGAGTGGCACATCCGCTCCGTGAACGCGGAGTCGGAGGCGCGCATCGCGGAGCACCGGAGCACGAAGCGCGCGAGCCTCGCGCCGGCCGCGGCGCTCAAGCAGCCCGCGGGCCTCCACGCCGCGCCGCCGCCCCGGCCTCCACTCGCGCCAGCCGGGGAGATCTCCGTGCGGCGCTTCACGGAGTTCGCGGACCCGGCGCCGCCCGCGCCCGAGCAGGTCCAGGAGCCCTACTTCTCGCCCGCGTAACGCGTTAGTCCCAGGACACGTCCGCGACGAGGGAGACGTGGTCGCTCGGGAAGGGCGCGGCGGGGAGGGCCGTGTGGGCCGCCCGCGTCGCCGCGAGGTCCGGCAGCGCCGCGACGTTCCGCGCCGCGAAGCGCCCGTCGCCCAGAATCCAGTCGAGCGTCGCGACGTAGCCGTCGGCGAGGTTCGTGTAGGGCTCGTCCTCCGGGTACGCCGAGTTCAGCGCGCCGAGCGCGCTGTCGACCCGGAGCCCGGCGCCCACGGGCGTCTCCGCCGGGTCGTCCTCCGCGGCGGCGACGAGCGCGCGCTGCGCCTCGTGGGCCTCGGCCTTGGCCGCCTCCGCGGCCTGATACAGGGCCTCGATGGCCGCCTCCGCCTGCGGGATCTCCTCGTCGAGGAGCGCGAGCTCGCCGTCGTCGCGGCGCAGGCCCGCGTCCGCGCGCAGCTGGAACAGCGCGACCAGGGGCGACGTCTTGTAGGTCTCGCCGCACTCGAGAGCCGCCCGCACGTCCTCGCCCTCGACGCCCTCGCGCAGCACCTTGCGCAGGCTCGCGGCGGCGCGCGTCCGCCGCTCCGCGGCCGCGTCGCTCGCTTGAGATTCGGCGAAGGCGTCGAGCGCCGCCGCGAACGGGGTCTCCGACGCGCGCGCCGCGACGCACGCGTCGACGTCGTCGACGGCGCCGGCGTCCGCGCCGCCGAAGGCCGCGATCGCGCGCGCGCGCGCCTTCCGCGACGACGCGTAGCCCCACGAGAACGTGTCGCCGATGATCCAGTCCAGGTGGTCCGCGGGGACGGTGCCGTCCAGCAACAAACGCAGCGCGCCGTCGTGGGCCTCCGCGTTCAGGTCGCCGCAGAGCACGACGTCGCCGCCGTGCCGCTCCTTCAGCTCCTTCGCCGCGCGCAACACGCTCGCCAAGAGCACGACGCGCACGTGCGTCGCGCGGCCCGCGAAGAAGAGGTGCGTGTTCGCGACGATGAGACGCCTGCCGTCGGCGTTGTTCTCGAGCACCGCGAGCTGGGCCACGCTCCCGATCTTCGCGAGCGCCTCCGCGAGGCGCGGCTTCGCGTCGACGAGGCGCGCGACGGGCGCCGCGAGGACCGCCTCCGGGTAGGCCGCGTCGTCGCGGCCGCGGCTCAGGGCGACCTCGCGCCGGTCGACCTCGCGCCAGTCGGCCGTCTTCCAGAGGAGCGCGGAGCCCTCGAAGGACTTGCCCGACTTCACCGTCAGGAAGCCGTCGTAGACCCCCGCCGTCCGCGGCCTCCAGAGCCGCTCGAACCACTTGGCGTCGACCTCCTGCAGCGCGACGACGTCCGGCGCAAAGTCCAACACCTCGTCGACGGCGAGCGGCACGCGGTACTCGGCCAACGTCTTCTCCGGCGGGCAGTGCGTGTGGATGCCCGCGTCCCACGTGTGGCGGTACGCGTCGGCGAGCACGTTGTAGGTCAACACGCGCACGCACTCCTTCGGCTTCGGGCCGAGCTGGCGGACGCGGCGGTCGTGCTCGGGCCGCGGGACCCGCGCGGCGACGGCGCCGACGGCGAGTGTCATAGGTTCGTCGCTTCCCGGCGCGCGCGCCTCGACGGTGACCGGTTGTCCCACGTGCGCGTCCGTCGGCACGTAGGCGGCGGCCTCGGAGGCGACGTCGTCGCCGACGCGCCAGCGCCAGGCGACGTCCGCCGGCGCGCAGTGCTTGACCGCGACGGTCGCGCGCAGCTCCCGGCCGACCGTCGGCGCCGCGTAGCAGTCCAGGGACGCGACGGACGGCGGGTTGAGCACGACGGCGAGCTTCTCGTCGCCGAGCTCGAGGAAGGCGGCTCGCTGGAAGGCCGCGAGGAGCTCCGTGGCGCCGTCGAGTGCCGCGCCGGACGCGTCGAAGAGCCGCGGGGGCGGCGGCGGCGGCGCGGCCGGCGCGCCCTTTTTCTTCTTGGGCGGCTTCGGCCCGAGGCGCGCGAGGCACTTTTCCAAGGCCTCGCCGCGCTTGCGCTGCAGCGTGCGCTGGCCCACGCTGACGAGCACGCTCTCGCCCTCGCACTCGACGACGACGCGCGCGGCCGCCATGTGCGCGAGGCGCCGCTGCGCCGCGAGGCTGCTCCGCTGCAGCGCCGCCGCGGTCCAAAGGCCTGTGCAGGCGACGATCAGACGCATTCACAGAGGGCTCAGCACTGCGTCACCATCATGAGCCCGCGGGCAAGAGCTGCAACGTCATCAACAAACGTCAACAAGATAACGCCGAAGCTTATGGGGCGGTCCTCCGGGGTGCGCGGAGGTGGTTTCGCGCAGCGGCCGGTGGTGGGGCCCGCCGCGTCGGCTCCGGTGGGCGCCCGGGGCGGAGCACCCCGCTGCGCGCGTCGATTGGGCAGCGGGGCGCCGAGCGCGAGGACTTGCAGGGCTTGGCCATCGGCGCGACGTCGCCCATGGGCCCGGGGGGCTGCCGCGCGCGCTCGCTTCGTTCGGATGCCTTCGACGTGAGTCTCGGAGGGAGCTGGTGGGGTCGGCGCCCTCGGTGGCTTCGGTGTGCGGGCTTCGATGTGCCCGTGTCCATTCGTTTCTCTGCATTCTGCAGCGTCTCCTCGTAGCGTGGCGCTCTGTGCGGTTCCGTCGGCGTCGGCGTCTTTGCTCTCTTCGGTCCCGCTGACTACGGGTGTCCTCTTCGGCGGTGCCCTCAGCTAGCCACTTGTGGTCCTGAGGTTGAATCGGCCTAGTCGAGCCGGACGTCCTGCCCGTCGGGTGCGGGTGCCTTCGTTCTCAACCTCCCCCGGTCCACGGAGAGTCCGTTGAGTGTCGTCTGAATGAGGCGACTCAGGATGCTACTGCCTTGCGCCAATCCCGGCGTGCTCTCGGCGTGGCGGTCGGTGCCAGGCTTGGCGCGAGTGTACCGCCGCCACACCTCCGATCCGAGTGCACGCGCGATCTTTGGGTCGGAGGAAGGGGCCGGTGTGGGAACGCCAACCCCCCGGCTACGCCTCCGTCTGAGCCTCCGGGCGGGGTCTTCGGGTGCGCACCCCCTTCAATAACTTGGTCAACGTCGCGCGCGGCGCTTCACCATCGGTTTTTGACGCCTCTCCGAAGTCGCGCTCTGCCGTCGAGGTGGCCGTCGTCAGCGCGCCTGCAGAGCGCTCGCGCCGCAATCGGTTCGCGCAGCGCATCGATCGCGGCGCATCGCATTCCGCAGCTGCCAGCACCAAAGTCGTGCATTCGGCAGCGCATCGCTGCCAGTGTCCCAGCTGCCAGCACCAAATGGGCCAGCAGCAATCGTCCGAGAAAGCATTGGATGACGACGCCTTCTGGCGGCGACAGACCGCAGTGTTCAATAAGTTCGACGCGCTCGTCGACAACTGCGAACTCGAAGTAAAAAACCTGACCGAGTCGATGAACAGCCAGAGCGGCGTCGACGGCGCGGTCGCCGCGCTCAAGCGCTGCCAGCAGCGACGCGAAGCGCGGCTCGCGGTCGTCCGCGGCGCGTGCCACGACGAATACTTCCGCTACGAGGCCGTCGCGGCCGACGGCAGGGGCGACGCGCGCGTGCTCGACGCCATCGAGGCGCTCCACCGCTGCGCCGTCTCCGCGCTGAGATAATCTTACGCCATCGCCTTCTCAGGCGGCCAGACCCAGGACGTCGCGAGCGTCTCCGTGTGGTAGTAGTAGGTGTTGCCCGAGGCCGGATCGACCTGCGCGGCCCACTTGGAGAAGTCCTGCTCCGCGGCGGCGGCGACGGGCGCCGCGGCGGCGACGACAGGCGCCGCAGCGGCGACGACGGGCGCCGCCATGGCCGCCGCCTGGTGCTCGGCCTCGGCCACGAGCGCGTCGACGGCCGCGGCCGCCGCGGCCTCGGCCGCGAAGGCCTCGTCCTCGGCCGCGAGCGCGGCCTCGGCCGCGGACTCGTCATCGCTCGTCATGGCGTCCACGACCGCGGCCTTTTTGGACGCGGCCTCCGCGAGCCCGGCCTTGAAGCCCTGCTTCGCCTCGCGGAGCTGCTCCTCGGAGATACCCGCCGCGGCGGCCCGGGCGACCTCCGCGGCCTTGACCTCCGCGGCGGCGACCGCGGCGGCCGCGTCGGCCTCGGCGCTGGCCTCGGCGTCCGCCGCGGCCTCGGCGAGCGCCGCGGCCTTGGCCGCGGCCTTGATCTTCTCCATCGCGGCCGCGCGCGCCTCCGCGGCGTCGGCCTCCGAGTCGGCCGCTGGCGCGGGCGCGGCGGCCTTCGCCTCCGCAGCGGCCTTCGCATCGGCGGCGGCCTTCGCAGCCTCCGCGGCGGCCTTCGCGTCGGCGGCGGCCTTCGCATCGGCAGCCGCCTTCGCCTCCGCGGCCGCCTTCGCTTCCGCGGCCGCCTTCGCCTCAGCGGCGGCCTTCGCGTCGGCGGCCGCCTTCGCCTCCGCGGCCGCCTTCGCCTCCGCGGCCGCCTTTGCCTCGGCGGCCGCCTTCGCGTCGATCTTCGCATCGGCGGGGGCGTTTGGATAGGCGGCCGCCTTCGCCTCCGCGGCGGCCGCGTCGACGGCGGGCGCGGCGCCGCCGCGCTTGGACTCGAGCGCGTCCATCGTCGGCCGCGACGCGCGGTCCACCCTCGCCTGCGCCGCGTCCATCAAGCTCAGCTGCCCCGCGCCCAGGGGCCGGTCCTCCTCGGGGTACTTCGTCCGCGCGGCGCGGAGCTCCTTGGCGATGTCGCGCTTGAGCTCCTCGCGCGCGTCGGCCGCCGCTAATACACGAAGCTCCCGGAGCCGCACGCCCATCTTCGCGGGCGACACGAGCTCGCCGCCGCGGATCATGTAGGGCGACTCGTCGCGGTAGTCCCAGAGCGCCTCGAAGACGACGTCGGCGTCCGCGCCCGCGTCTTTTGAGCGCGCCTCGCGCATGCCGGGAGGCGGCTTCGACGCGCGCTTCTCCAGCGCGGAGCGCACGTCGCCCGCCGTCAGCCGCGGCACCCACTCGTCGCAGAACTCGTCGAGGAACTGGAGCGCCGCCGCGCGCGCCGCCGTTGCTTTCGCCTCTTCATCACCATCAACAAAGCCCGCCTCGCGCTTTGCGCGGCGGGCCTCGCGCCGCTCCGTGATCCGCGCGTCGACCTCGTCCTCGTAGGCGTCCGCGGCGGCCTCGCGCCGCAGGTAGCCGCACTCGAAGGCCGTCTCCGGCGTGAGAGCCGTCACTTCGTCGTACAGCGCCGCGAGCGCCCGGAGCGTCGTCAGGCGGTCCATCGCGCGACGGTCGTAGGCGTAGAGCGGCATCTGGTCGTCGCGCGTGTAGGCCGTCTCGCCGCCCTCGGCGAGCAGCGCGTCGCGCGACATCTGCGGCGTCGGGAGCGCGCCGACGGCCGCTCGGTCGCTGGCGACGCGCTGCGCGTCGCCCTTCTCGAGGAGGTCGAGGTGAAACGACCACGTCTTCACGAGCGCCTCGGCCGTGTCGAGCACGCGCGCGAGGATGGCCCGCGTGTGGATGGGCTCGTCGTAGAACATGGACTTTTGCACGCGGTTCCGCAGGAAGGGGTTCGCCTGCTCCCGCGAGCTCAGGCGCTGCGGCGGCGGCGCGAGCTCCACTTCGACGATGCCGTCGGGCTCCTCGCCGAGCGCCGCCAGGTAGGCCGTGTAGGGCGTCGTCCGCAGCATGCCGAAGGCCGCCGTGTACGTGCCCGGGAAGCCACTCGCGCCCACGTGGCGCCCGACGCTGTCGAGGTGCTCGTGGCCCTCGAACTTGGCCATCCAGCCGACCTGCGGCTCGTTGCGCAGGCCCGCGCTGTAGTGCAACTGGGTCTGGATCGCCCGCTGGAGCACGAAGTCGCCGAGGTTCACCGCCGGCGGAGCCAGGGCGCTCGCCGAGGCGACAAGAAGCATGATGGTTGCAGCCATCGCGATCGTACGACAGAGCAAGCAAGGTCGTGCAAGCTTCGTCAAACGTCGGCCTTGCGCAAAAAACGGCCTCCCGAGCCGCGATTCGACCTCGGACGTCTTACCGCGCCCCCTACTTCTTCTTCTTCTTCTTCGCGCCGCCCTTGGCGGGCTTCTTGGCGGCGGCGGCGGCCTTGGGCTTCTTGTCGCCGCCCTTGGCCTTCTTGTCGCCCTTCTTCTTGCCGCCCTTCTTGCCGCCCTTCTTCTTGCCGCCCTTCTTGCCCTTCTTGCCGCCCTTCTTCTTCTTGTCCGACACCTTGGGCGTCGGCGCCGTGAGCGCGTAGATGGTCCGCTGGGACAGCTCCTCGCGGGCCATCGTCGCGGCCTCCATCTGCTCGAGCGCCGCCGCGCGGCTCGGGAGGAGCCCCAGCGCCACGGACAGGACGGCGCCCAGGACCTGGACGACGCCGTCGTCGGAGCGCACCATGGCGCCGAGCGTCGGCGCGACGGCGAGCCGCTTCCGCTCGCTCTCCGCGGCGTCCGTGAGCGCGCGCGTCGCCATGTTCTGGTACAGATTCAGTTCCGAGAAGGGCTGCGCGGCCGCGTGCGCGGCCGCGTCGATGAGCATGGAGATCTGCGTGTTGAGGAACTGGCAGCGCCGCTCGGCGCGGGCCGCGCGCGCCATCTGCGCCGCGCAGTGCGCCTCGCGGTCGTCGTACCACGCGTAGGACGCGGCGAACGCGGCCTCGGACGCCTCGCAGCGCCGGAGCATGAAGGCGACGTCGCGCGCGTGGCGGTCGAAGGCCATCTTCGCTAACACCGCGGGCTCGCGCTGGTGGGCGAGGGGGCAGCGCACGGCGACCGTCGTCCGCACGGACCGCCGCCGCTCGTTTTCGAGTTTCGCTTTCCGCGTTTCTTCCGCGACGAAAAACGCGAAAGCCCGCCGCTCCTCCTCCTCCTCGGCCTGGAGCTTGAGCTCCTCGGGCGTGAGGTCCGGCGCGTCCTCGTTGGACTGCTGCTCGCCCTCCTCCTCCTCGTCGCCGAGCTTTCCCGTCCCGAAATCCTCCGAAACCAACCAGGGGTCCCACTCGTCCTCCTCCGGGTCCTCGCCCAGATCCTCGTCCAGCGACGGCAGCTCCACGGGGCAGCCCCGGAGCGTCATCGTCCCGTCGCCGGGGCCCGGCGTCGCGAGGAAGTAGCGCAAGACTCGTACGATTTGTTGCTCCTCCGTCGCGGGCTCGATGGCGTTGAGCTCCATGGAGAAGTGGAGCTCCGCCTCCGTGCGCGCGATCTGCGACACCAACACCTCGGCGCAGCGCTCGTGCTTGAGCTCGAGCTCGCCGAGCTGCTCCGCGGTCATCTCCAGGCTCATGTTGTAGTGGTCGATGCGGTCGCGCGCGGCCTCGAGCTCGTGCATGAGGTAGTCGCGCGCGTCGCGCTCGAACTCGTGCAGGGACGTCGTGTCGGCGAGGAAGCGGATGACGTTGCGGTAGTCCGACTCCTTGCGGATCTTGTTCTCGACGTGCTTCACCGCGAGCTCCTTGGCCTCGACGCCCCGCAGGATGCCCTCGAGGTCCGCGGCCCGCGGCGCGCCCTTGCCCCGCCGCCGGATGTGGCGCGGCACGTAGTGGGGGCGGAAGACGACGTTGCCGCCGCTGTTGAACGCCGCGCGCTTCCGCCAGAGCTGCAGCGTGAAGACGCGCGGGTCGATGCGCGCGGACCGCAGGGGCATGCCCTCGGCGCGCAGGTATTCGAAGAGGATGCCGTCCCACATCATCGCCAGGCAGTCCATGTGCGCCTTCTCCGTGGACCCGTGCCGCGCGCCCTCCAGCGCGACGCGCCGCATGACGCCCGCCTTCTTCTCCCCGTGCGTGCCGAACTCGCACTCCTCGACGAGGCCCAGGGCGCCGCAGAGCGACCCGAGCTCCGCCGGGTTGTGCATGTCGAGGAGCGTGCTCAGGCCCTCCCGCAGGTTCTGCGCCAGGCGCTTCTCCTCCTCGACGAGGGGGTCCAGCACCTGGCCCTTGGCGAACTTGTTGAGCTTGTGGAGGTCGAAGCCCATGCCGGGCGCGTCGCGGTCCGCGCCCTCGCCCCGCCCCATGATGTCGTCCCGCTGCGACCTTCCGGGTGTGGGGCTAGCGGGGCTGCCGCCGCGCAATCATACCGGCTCCGCTACGAGGGTGCAACTTTACTGCTCTTTCGGCCTGACGAGGTGTAAAAAACTCGCAAAATATGGACGCCCAAAACGCGGGCGCCGCGGCGGCCGACGAGGCGCCGCAGCAGGACGGCATGATGGGCGGCATGATGCGGTCCATGCTCATGTTCATGGCCCTGCAGTCGGGCACGCGCATGCTCTTCGGGTCGCCGCAGGAGGCGAGCGTGCGCCCCCGCGGCGCGCCGGCGGCGCCCGGCGCGGCGCCGCCGGCGGCGCCGCGCGAGGAGAGCGCGCTGGAGAAGTGGGCCAAGGCGCGGCTCCCGCCGCAGCCCAAGCCCGCGCCGAAGTTCGACGCCTACGACTCCAACGGCCGGCGGCTGCCGCCGCAGCGGAACCTCTGGGACGAGTCGCAGACCTTCGACGTCCACGTCTACACGTCCTGCGCCGCCAACGCGAGCCAGGGCTCGCTCGAGCCGCTCTGGAGCGAGCGCGGCCTCTCCTACGACTACGCGAAAACCAACGGCCGCGCGCGGACGTTCACTTTTACGACGGAGAACGCGACGCGCTGCGTGCGGCGCGCGTGGGAGAACGTGTCCGTCTACGCGCACGTCTTCGCGACGACGGCCGAGGACTTCGACCCGCGACAGCCCGGGCCGGCGACGCCGGCCTACAGCGCGGCGCTGACCAAATTCCACAAACCGCCGAAGAACCAGACGGGGCGGTCGCTGCTCTCGAACGAGACCGTCGACGCCGCGCCGGCGGCGAACGCGAGCGACGCGCGGCCCATCCTCTACTGGAAGCCGACCCTCGTGGTCCGCGCCGTGTCGCTGCCCGAGTCCTTCCCCCGGGGCAACATCCCGGACCAGATCTCGCGGCTGTTGACGTTCGACAAGTCCGGCGACTTTTTGCCGCCGGTCCACGTCGACGAGTTCTGGCTGTTGCACAAGTCGCTCGTGCCCGTCAACGACACGCTCGACCGCGTCACGTTGACGGCGTCGCTGGACGTCGAGGGGCTCATGAAGTGGCAGATCAAAAAGTCCATGGAGCAGCAGTGGGCGAGCCAGCGGGCGATGGGTTTGCAGTCCGACGGCGAGAGCGACGTGATCCGCGAGATGCTGAGCGACACGGAGCCCTGGCTGCTGGCGCTGACGTGCCTCGTGTCCATGCTCCACATGGTCTTCGAGGGGCTCGCCTTCAAGAACAACGTCAAGTTCTGGCGGAACAAGAAGACGCTCGAAGGGCTGTCCGCGCGGACGATTGCGCTCAACTGCGTCTTCCAATTGGTCATCCTGCTCTACCTCCTGGACAACGACACGTCCTGGATGATCCTGATCTCGTCGTCCATGGGTCTCTTTACGGAGGTCTGGAAATTGTCCAAGGCCGTGAAGGTCCGGAGGGACCCGGACACGGGCCACTGGGGCGTGCACTGCGAGGAGTCGTACGCCGTGTCGGAGACGAAGGAGTACGACGACATCGCGACGCGCCACCTGCTGCGCGTCGTGGCGCCGCTGCTGCTGGGCTACAGCGCCTACAGCCTCGTGACGGGCCGCCACAAGGGCTGGTACTCGTGGCTCGTGGGCTCGTGCGTCGGCTTCATCTACGCCTTCGGCTTCGTCATGATGACGCCCCAGCTCTACATCAACTACCGCCTCAAGTCCGTGGAGCACCTGCCCTGGCGCGCCATGGTCTACAAGTCGCTGAACACGTTCATCGACGACCTCTTCGCGTTCATCATCAAGATGCCGACGATGCACCGGCTCTCGTGCCTCCGCGACGACGTCATCTTCGTCGCGACGCTCTACCAGCGCTACATCTACCGCGTCGACTACACGCGCATCAACGAGTTCGGCCAGGGCGGCGTGGACCCGGACGCGGACAAGGTCGAGGCGGAGAAGGCGGTCGACCGCGTGTCCGCGTACGCGTCCGTGGTCGACCAGCCCGACGACGTCGCGCCCGAGCCCGTCGCCGACGACGCCGCCGCCGCGGGTCTCGACTAGTCTCTGCTTCTAAAAACGCTCGCTCCGATGCCACCTCGATGCTTACGCGCGCCGACGCGGCGCGGCGCGCCGAAGCGCGCGGCGCTCAGTTCCGCTTCTTGCCCTCCTTGATGCCCTGGTACAGCGTCCAGCCCATCCAGGAGTACATGACCACGACGACCATGGCGGCGAAGAAGATGAGGATGTACATGCCGACGCCGACCTACACTGCTCTCTCAGGGATTGGGGGGACGGCGGCGGCGCGCGCACCTCATCGTCCTCGTCGTCGTCGTCGTCGTCGGCGCGGATCGCGACGAACGACGTCAGCCAGACGAGCAGGCTCAAGACGGTGCTCCTGGGCGCGGCCAACATCGTCTCCTTTTGCGCTCTGCGGCCGAGCTCGACTTGGCTTTGCCACAAGGCAACTCGCTGAAAAGCTGGCACTGAAGTGGGAAGAGCTGTGGCCTTGCAGCGAGCCGAGCCGACGAGGACCGATCGTCGCGGCCTCCGAAGGCGACCTGCACGCGCGCGCGACGTCGGGCGCCTGCCTTGCAGAGGCCAGGCCGCGCCGCCAGCGCAACCACAAATAACCACAAACGCGATGGCGGACCCGGCCATGCAGGGCCGCCTCGAGGAGGTGGCGGCGGTGCTCGTCGAGTTCTACGAGGGCGCGGACCACGGTGCGAAGCCCGCGCTGAACGAGCGCCTCGGCGACATGCGGTCGCGCGCCAACGCCTGGCGCGACGCGCTCTGGTGGCTCGGCGCGACGGCGGACCTCGGCGCGACGCCCGCGACGTACTACGTGTCGTACTTTTCCGCTTCGGTGCTCGAGGAGGCGGTCCGCGTGGGCTTCGGCAGCGAGCAGCTCGGCCGCGAGGGCCGCGTCGCCGTGCGCGCCGCGCTCTTCGCGCCCGAGGAGCCGCGGAGCGTGCTCCTGGCCGCCGCGCGGAACCAGCGGGCGACGCTTCCGGCGGCCGTGGCGACGAGATTGCGCAAGGTCGTCGTGGACGTGGGCAAGGCCGCGTGGCCCGGCGAGATGCCCAACTACCTCCAGGAGATCTGTTTGGCGTCCATGGAGCCCGACGCGGGCACGTCGACGCTGGGGCTCGAGCTGCTCGCGTTGACCGCGGAGGAATTCTGCGACACCAACGGCAAGGTGGCCATGTCGAGGAGCCGGGAGCTCAAGTCCCACCTCGGGACCCACCTGACGCAGATCGTGGGCCTCTTGTGCGAAGCGCTGCGGCGGGCCGACGGCCACGACGCCGCGCGCGACGCCGCGCTGCGTTGTTTGTCGACGTTGGTCGCCTGGGCGCCGCTCGCGAGCCACATGACGCCGGACCTCCTGGCGACCCTCTTCGGCATCGTCGAGCGCGACGTCGCGCGGTCGCCGGAGCTGAGCGGCGGGCTCGAGGCCGCGCGGTGCTTGGATGCCGTGTTATTAAAACGGCTCGTGCCGCCGAACTTCTCGCAGTTCGTGGTCATGCTCTCGCAGCACACGCTCTCGCTCTTGCGCACCCTGGCCGCCGCGCTGGAGGCCAAGCCCGCGGGCGACGTCGACGACGACTTCGAGGCGCTCTTCGCCGCCGTGTCGGAGCTCGTCGCGACGTTCGTCGAGCAGCACTTTCCGCGCGTGGCGACGACGGACTGCGGCTTCCCCGTGGCGGAGCTGCTCGGTCTACTCGCGAAAGTCCTCTTCTCGCCGCCGGCGAACCCGCGGGAGCTGCGGCGGGGTCTACGGCCCTGGGACACGCTCATCGCGTTCCTCGCGGAGTCCGAGGACGCGTCGCTGGGAGATCCCGGCAACGCGACGGGCGCGGGCGTCGCGTCGGTGGTCCTCGCCCTCTTCCGGGACCGGCTCCTGTTCGCGACGAACGGCGACGCGTTGTCGTTGCTGGACGAGGAGGAGGCGCCGGAGACGGGCGCGCCCGCGAAGGCCGACGAGGCCGACTCCGCGGCGGAGCTCGTCGACGAGCTCTCGGGCGGCGCGCCCGACGCGAGGGCGCTCGGCGGGTGCCTCCCGTCGGCCGCGCACGACGGCGGCGAACTACGGTTGCTCCTCGCCGACGGCCTGAACCTCATGGGCGCCGCGTGCCGGGGCGTGCTGCGGCCGCACGTCGCGGGTCCGCTGTGCGAGGCCGCGGCGGCCGCGCTGGAGGCGTCGCTCGCGGGCGCCTTCCCGCCGCTCGAGGCCCTGGAGCACGGCGTCCCGCGCTCCTGCGTGCGCTGCGCCGTCGACGCGGCGACGGCCTGCGGCGTGCTCGGGGCCGCGGCGCCCTTGGCGGGCGACGACGACGCGCTGGCGTCCGCGACGCGCGCGGCGCTCAACGCGGCGAACGGCTGCCTGCGCGAGCGCGCCCACGCGCTGGGCCCGGCCTACGCGGCCCTGGAGTGCGCGGCGCTCGACGCGCTGCGGGATCTCGTGCCCGCGGTCTGCTGGCGGAGCCGCGAAGGCCCGGGAGGCGCCGAGGCGCTCGTCGACGGCGCGCTCGACGCGGCCGCGCTGGCGCTGGACTGCGCCGTGAGCCCGCCGCCGGACCCCGTGGCCCGCGCGGGCGCCTGGCTCATTCTGGCCGTGGCCAAGTGCGCCAAGGGCGCGCCGTGGCTCCTGCGGAACGCGCGGTTGACGACGCTCGCGGCGGGCGGCTGCCAGCAGTTCACGCGCAACGCGGGGCCCCGGAGCCGCGCGCTGGTGTACCGCGGCGCCGCGGCCGTCCACCTCCTGTCCGAGGACCCGGCGGCGGGGCTGCGGGCGCTGCTCGAGCCCGTCGCGGAGCCGGTGCTGCTCGCGGCGCGCGCGCTCGACGCGCTCCGCACGGACGCGGAGCTCGTCTCGCTGGAGGCTTTGGACGCGGCGGCGCTGTCCGCGGCGCAGCGCGGCTGCCGCGTGCTCGCGGCGCTGGCCGCGGGCGCGACGCGCGACGACTACGCGCGGTCGCTCGTCTCGCGCGCGTTCTTCCCGGACGGCGGCGGCGCGTTCCACGCGGCGCTCGCCGGGTCGACGCGGCTGCTGGCCCACAGCGCCGCGCGGGCCCTGGCGACGCCCCAGCTCGGGCGCGACGCGCCGCCCCAGGCCATCCGGGGCGCCGCGGCGCTGCGGGCGCCGCATCTCGCTTTGGCGACGTCCATCGTCGAGCTGCTCGTCGCGGCGTCGCACGCCTTCGGCCACGCCGCGGGCGGCTGCCACGCGTTGCGCGCCGTCGGCGCGCTCCTCGTCGCCTTCGACGCGACGCCGCCGGCGAAGATCCTCCTCGCGAACTCGGCCGCGTACGCGGCGCCGGCCACGTTGGGTTCGCCGCGGCCGCCGGACCGCCGCGGCTCCGCCGTCGCGCCGCCGCGGGCCGCGGCGCTCTACCTCGTGAAGGCGACCTGCAAGCTCGTGTCCACCGTGGCCGCGGCCCAGGGCGCGGAGGCCGCGCGCGCGGTGCCCGACGTCTGCGATTTAGCGCTGAACCACGTCGCGCCGCTCGCCGCGGGCGGCCACGCGCCGGAGCTGCTGCCGCCGCTGCTGGACCTGGCGGACCACCTATTATGCCACCAGTGGGCCGCCTTCGTCGCCAAGCCCGAGGCGCCGCCGGGGAGCCCCGCGGGCGTGGCTCTGCAGTACCGGTCCGCGCCGCCGGCGCTCCGAGACGGCGCGCCCGCGCGCCACTTCCGCACGCTCTGCGACCTGCTCGCCGTGGGCGTCGCGGGCGTGGACCTGCCGCCCCACGCCGTGAAGCGCGCCCTGCGGGCGCTGTCGAACGCGAACGCGAAGTCGCGGCTCTTCGACTTCGCGGTCTTTTCCGCGGAGTTCCGCGCGAAGCTCTGCGACCGCCTGCTCGACGCGCTCCTGGACCGGCGCCACGACCTGCTGTGCGATGATCTGGCCGCCGTGCTCCACGCGCTAGCCGCCGCGGATCTCGACGGCTTCTTCGGGAGCTTCGTGCCCGCGAAGCTGCAGGCCGCGCCGGGCCTGGACGACGCGCAGCGCCGCGCGGTGCTCGCGGGCTGGGGGCGCGCGCCCGACGCGCCGAGCTTCGTCGCCAACCTCAACGACGCCGTCAACGACGTCGCCTTCTACCGCCTCCAGAACCTGCACGCCATGGAGTGAGTGGGGAACCTTGAGCTTGTACTCGGCGGGTAAGATGCAGGGTGCTTGCCCTTTCGAAGTCTCTCCGAGTCGAGATGGCCGAGCTGGAAGCGAGCGCCGGGGCAGCCGCGCCGGCGCCTGCGCCGGAGCGCATCAGCATCGACGCGGTGATCTTCGACCTCGACGGCACGCTCCTCGACTACGAGGGCCTGTCGCACGAGCTGCTGAAGGCGCCCCTCGAGGCGCGCGGCGTCGAGGGCTTCACCTGGGACCTCCAGGCGTCCATCGTCGGCTCGCGGCCCGAGCGCTGGTCGGAGCAGATCCTCGAGGCGCTGGACGTGCCGCGGGACGTGCTGACGCCCGAGGCCTACGTGGCGGACTACATGGCCGAGCTCGAGGGCCGCTACGGCGAGATCGAACCGATCGCGGGCGCGCAAAAACTCGTCGACGCGCTCCTCGCGCGGGGCGTGCCGCTCGCGCTCGCGACGTCGACGCCGCGCGCGTCCTTCGACAAGAAGATGGCGCACCACCCGGAGCTGCTCTACGCCATGTCGGCCGTCGTGACCGGCGACGACGTCCGACACGGCAAGCCCGCGCCGGACGCGTTCGTCCGGGCCGCGGAGCGGCTCGGCGTGGACCCGGCGCGCTGCGTCGTCTTCGAGGACTCGCCGTTGGGCATCCGGGGCGCCCGGGCCGCGGGCTGCTTCACCGTGGCGCTGCCTGACGCGCGCATGCCGGCGAACGCGGCGCGCCTCGCGGGCCTCCGGCCGACCTTCGTCTGCGACCGCCTCGCGGACTTCGACCAGGACGCGCGCCTCGACTTCACGAAGCGCGGCGCCCTCGCCTTCATGGAGGAGGACTGCATCCGCTGGCAGGGCGCCTAGAAAATAGTTCAATGTGTCAGTTGAAGTAGCAAAGTTTGTCGAGCAGGAACAGAGTATGGGTGGCTGAAGCTGCCCAGTCGCGCTCTCGACGCTGCCCGCCTGCTCTCCAAGCTGCCCGCTCGCTCGCCGCGAGAACCGGCCGCTCGCCCGTGAAGCATGGTGGCGCACGGCCGGTCCATCGCGGTGCGTGGCACGAAGAACCTCTTCTTCCAGACGCAGCGCCCCACGCGGCGCGACGCCGACCGCCGCGAGGCCATCGTCGCGGCCTACGAGATCGCGAGCCCGGAGATGATCGAGTCCGGCGACTGCGCCGCGCTCCTGGAGGCGCACGCGGCGGACCTCGGGCGCCTCCTCTTCCGCGTGCAGCACAAGTTCGACCACGTCGCCGCGGACGGCTGCCTCCTCTTCCGCGCGACGGCGCTCTCGCGGTGGCGCGAGGTCTACTGCCAGCTCCACGCGCGCACGGGCGAGCTCGTCGTCTACCGCTGCGCCGACGCCGAGGCGAAGCGCGCGCTCCGGGCCGCGGCGGCCTTCGGAGTGCTCCCGGAGCACCTGCTGCCGCCCGGCGCCAGGATCATCGACGTGCTCGACGTCACGCACCTCGCGTCGGCCACCGTCGTCGAGGACGGCGGCGCCCGGTTCGCCTTCGACGCGACGGCGCCGGCGCTGAGCCTCTGGGACGCGCTGGGGCTCGCGGGCCGCCGCGCGCTCCGCCTCGCCGCGCGCACCGCGCGCGAGCGGAGCGCCTGGCTCGCGGCGCTCCGGGAGGCGCGGGCCTTCTTCGCCGAGAAGCGCGACCAGCGCCGGGCGCGCGGCGCCGCCGCGGCCGCCGCGGCGACGCTCGACGCCGCGGAGGGACCCGCGGCGGCGGAGCTCGCGGCGCGGCTCCGCGACGACGGCGACGGCGTCGCCGAGGCCGCGACGACGGGCGGCGCGCCCGCGGCCCTCGAGGCCTTCCGAAAGCTCCTCGAGGAGCCCACGGCCGCGGACGCCGGCGGGACCCGCGCCGCCGCGCTCGAGGCCTTCAAGGCGGCGCTCGAGGCGAAACCGACGGACGCCGCGGCGCGCGAGGCGGAACCGCCGCCGCCGCCCGCCGGGGACGCGGACACGACGCCGCCGCCGTCGCCGCGCACGTTGGCAACGACGCCGCCGCCCGCGGCGCGCGAGACGGCGGCTCCTTTGGCGCGCGAGGTCGACGCGGACTCGGCGTCGTCGACGTCGACCGCGGCGCCCATCGACGACCTCGGCCTCGAAGAAAACGAGCGCGACGACGGGCGGCCGAAGTACCGCAAGTCCATCAGCGAGGTCTACTCCGAGGCCGATCCCGCGGAGACGTATACTTTGCGCGTCGTCGACGACGGGCCCCTCGGCATGGAGCTCCAGTTCTGCGACGAGGGGTTCCGCGTCGAGGCCGTCGTCGGCGGCGCGGCGCTCCGCGAGGGCGTCGCCGCCCAGGATGTTATTGTGGCGATCCAGGGCAAGTCCTGCGCGCTCCGCGATTGGCCCGAGGCCGCGTACGCGCCCGAGATCTTCTTCGCGCCGCGGCCGCTCGTGCTGACCATGGCCCGCGCCCGCAAGTTCGCGCCGTCGCCCCGGCGCCCGCCCGCGGGCGACTCGCTCTTAGATGTGGTCCACTCGCTGGAGCTCCTCGACAGCCTCGACGCGCCGCCGCCGCCGCCGCCGCCGAAGCGGCGCTTCGCGCGGTGGCAGCTCGCGTCCCACGGCCGCTGGGTCCCCGCCGCCGAGGCCGACGACGACGCGCCGAACTCGGTCCTCTCCGACGACGACGGCGGCGGCGGGGACGACGACGACGAGCCGCCGCCCGACGCGCGCTACGACGACGACGGCGCGTGGTCCGACGCGTCCTGGTCCGACGCCGACGAGCTCGGCCCGCGAACCCCCTAAGTAGCACGGTTAGTCGCCGTCGTCGAGGAAGAAGGCGCCCGCGAAGGCGCGCGGGCTGCCGCGGTGCGACGCCGGCGGCGCGAAGGCCGGCGCGGCGACGAGGACGGCGCCGCGGGGCGTCGCGGCGACGACGGCGTCGGGCGCGACGGCCGCCGCGTTGCCCGGCCCGCGGATCGGCGCCGCGCCGACGTCGAGGACGGCGACGGGCGAGAACGGCGAGCCGACGCCGTGGCCGAAGACGAGGACCGCGGCGCCGACGCGCAGGTACAAAAACCCGCCCGCGACGGCGACGCCGCAGGTCCGCGGGTCCGCGCCCGCGCGCTCGCGGGGCACGGAGTAGGCCACCGTCGCCTTGGCGACGACCCGGGGCCCCGCCGCCGGGAAGGCCACGGACGCGGCGACGAGCGCGTCGTCGAACGCCAGGACGTCGCCGGGATCCGCGCCGCGGTGCTCGAGGACGCAGAGGCCCGCGGCGTCCGGCAGGGGCGCGACGTCGAGCACCACGGTGCGCGCCACGGGACACGGCGCCTCGCGGACGAGGGTCGCGAGGCGGCCCTTCGTGTCGCGCGTCGCCGCGAGCCGCGCCGCGCCGGAGGCGTAGCGCGCCTCCGAGCCGCGCGCGCCCAAGCTCCGGTCCTCGGCGACGTCGTACGTCGCCGCGAGGCAGCGCTGACAGGCGTCGCCGCGAACATCGTCGGCCGCGTGGGCGGCGTCGAAGAGCACGGCCGCCGTCGCCGTCGGCGGCGCGGACGCGGCGCCGTCGAGGGCCGCGGCCGCGGCGGGGAACGCGCGCGGCCACGCGTCGGCCTGGACCGTCCAGTCGAGGTCGTCCGCCGGCGGTCTGGGGTCCCAGAGCGCCAGAGTGCCCGCGGGTTCGACGGTGGCGAGCCGCGCGCCGACGTACGCGTGGCGCGACGGCGGGCTCTCGTGAAACCGCAGCGCGCCGACGAGGACGCCCCTGTCCGTCGGCACGGGCTCCGGCGGCGCCGGCGCCGCCTTTTTTTTGGAAGATCCAAACCAGCCCTTTTTTGGCTTCTCCGGCGGCGGCGGCGGCGGCGGCAGCACGCACTGCCACCGCGCGAGCGGCCCGCCGCGCGTCGAGATCCACAGCCGCGGCGCGTCGTCGCGCCGCGCCCACGCGTCGTCGTCGTCGAGGGCGCCCGGCGCGCGGCCGCCGTCGTCGACGCGCGCGGCCACGGGGAAGACGTCGGGCCAGACGTCCGCGGGCGCGCGGCCCCGGAGCGCGCGCTCGTCTAAAAGCGTCTCGAGCGACACGGAGTTGACCGACAAAGCCGCGGTGACCTCGACGAGCCAAACACAAACAACACCAGCGGCGTCGACGGAGACGGCGCGCCGCCCGGCGGCGTCCAAAGCGACGTCGGCGATGGGCGCCGGGAAGCGCGTCGTCGCCATGACGGCGCCGGCCGTCGCGGCGCCGTCGAAGGCCCAGGACGCCGCGCCGCCGTCCTCCGGGAGGCGTTCTTCCTCGTCGTCGGTTCGCCCGCCGCCGCCGCAGGGCGCCGCGGCGACGCCGACGCCGCCCGCCGCCGTGCCGAGCGCGACGACGACGACGTCCGTCGGCAGGCCGGCGCGGTCCGCGAGGCGCGCCGCGTCGACCGCCGAAACGACGTCCCCCGCCGGGACCTCGAGCCGCGCGGACCGGCGGCCCGGCCCCCGCGCCCAGCAGCGCCGCAGCGCCTCCTGCTCCACTTGCATATCGCCGTCCTGGTCCGCGAGGCGCGGCGCCGGCGCCGCGAGCCGCGCGGGCTTTAGATTCTGGTCGAGCGCGGCCGTGAATTCCCCAAATGGCACTTTTGGCCCGCCCGCGTCGCGCGCGGCGAGCTGCCGTTTTGCGGCGACGAGCGCGTCAAAATCATCATCGTCGTCGCCGCCGCCGAGGAGCGCGTGGGCGACGAGCTTCGCCGACGCGTCGCGCGCGGCCGCCGATTCGCCGGCGACTTGGTACAACGCCTCTCGCACGGCCTCGTCCGCGACGTCGTCCGCGGCGTCGCGCGCGGCCAGCTCCAACACGCCGCCCCGCGACGCCCACTCGCCCGCGCGGCCGCGGTCGAAGATGGCGTCGTAGGCCTCGAGGCGGTCCAGGTCGCGCGCCTTCGCGGCCGCCGCGTCTTTCGCGGCGGCGAGCGCCGCGGCGTCCGCTTTCGCGACGCGCGACACCGCCGCGGGCGTCAGCGGGTCCCAGGGCCCGCCCGCGGCCCAGGCGACCTCCTCGCCCGACGCCTCGACGTCGCGCGCCAGCGCGTCGAGCGTTTCGGTCGTCGACCCCGCGAGCCAGCCCTCGGCCTCGCGGAGCACGTCGCCGCCGTCGGGCGTCGCGGGCCGCTCGGCCATGGTTTCCGCGGCCGCCGCCGGGTAGGGCGGCGCGGCCACGTCGTCGACGCGCGGCGTGAAGTCGCCCTCGACGACGTCGGCGAACATGGCCTGCTCGACGTCGTCGTCCGCGGCGGACGGCGTCGACAGCGTCGGCAGCGTCGGCAGCGCGGACGACGGGCCCAGCACGAGCCGCTCCAGGGCCTCGCGCGCGTCGTCGTCGCCCGCATCGCCGGCCTTGAGCTCCGCCTCGACGAGCCGCGCGCGGCTCAGGCGGCCCTTCGCGTCGACGGCGCGCCGCCGGAGCGCCAGGGCGTCGCGCTCGCCTTCGAGCGCGGCGCGCTCGCCCCGCAGCGCGCGGCGCCGCGCCTCGCCGGCGGCGAGGGACGACGCGCGGCCCGCCTCGCGCGCCGCGTCCTCGCGCTCCCGGGCCTCCGTGCGGTACGCGCGCGCCTCGCCGTCCTTCGGCTCCGTGAGAAGCTCGAGCGCGAGCCGCGCGCGCCGCCGCGCGTCGTCGACGTCGTCCAGCTTCTTCTGCGCGCGCTCGAGCTCGAGGCGCCGCGCGGCGATCTGCGCGCAGCGCCACTCCCGGTCCAGGTCCGCCGCGCGCCGCGACCGGGCGCGCGCCTCCTCGCGGGCCTTGGTGAGCTTGCGCCGCAGGGACAGCTGGGCCTCGCGCTCCTGCTTCGTCGCGTCGTCGACGGATTTCAGCTTCTCGAGCACGGCGAGCCGCTTCTTGGCCGTGTCCGTCATGGGTGGCGGCTCCGTCATATTTCAATCAGGTGGGCTGCCCATCGTGTCCGACGAACGGCACGGCACCATTCAAGAATCAAGCAGCCCACTTTTTCAACGCGCCGTGGCAGCTCTCTGGGAGAGCGTCGTCCCGCGTCGGAAGGGCGCGCCGCGTCGTCGGTCGACGATGGGCCCCATCCTCGAGCCCGGCGCCATGCGCTGGAAGCAGGACTCGCGCACGCCCGGGCGCCAGGGGTCGAACACGTTCCTGGACATTGGGGAGGACCGCTTCCACTGGCAGAAGCCCACGAGCGACGTCGACGCCTTCTACAACCTGCCGGACACGCTGGGGAAGATCAGCACGCCCTTCGGGTCGAGCACGCGCACGGACTGGGAGGGCACGGTGAAGAACAAGCGCGACGGCGTCAACCCCTACGCGGGCCCGGGCAACTACAACACGAACAACTTCACGTGCCTCAGCACGTGCCGCGCGGCGCCGAACAACAAGTTCGGCTTCAGCAGCCGCCAGGCGAACCACCAGACGTCGAGCCCCGGGCCGACCTACGACATCGAGGGCATCTGGACGCGCGGCAAGGACCGGACCGTCGGCATCGGCTTCAACAAGGACAACCGGAAGCCCATGATCATCAACACGACGGACGCCCAGTACTACCCCAAGCTCGCCAAGACGTCGTCGGTGAAGATGGGCACGAAGCTCAAGACGGGCTCCGCCTGGGGCAGCGGCACCGCGCGGTCGCCGGGCCCGATCTACGACGTCCAGAAGTACGACTTCCGCACGGGGCCCCAGTTCAGCTTCGGCGGCTCCAAGTCCGACCGCTTCAAGGGCGGCTGCATCTGAGGCGGGGAGCGTAACTTTTCCGAGGGTGTCTTTTCCCTGAACTTCATCATATTTCTTGAAGCGTGTGGCATTGATGTTGAACCTCATTTCCATCGATTGCGAGCCATCGTCGTCGTCGAGCTGTGCAGCGTCGCGTCGCGTACCAGCCCTCTGCACGTTGCAACGATGCGCAGCACTATGCGCGTGCTCGCAATGACCATAGCAACAATGGCCACAGCGCTGCGCGCGCCGCGGCGCCTCGCGACGCTCCCAAAGCGCCTCGCGCGACCGTCGCTGACCATGCGCGCGCCGTGGGAGAAGTTCGCGGCGTCGGCGGACGCGCTGGCGCCGCGCGCGCTCCAGGGCGGCGCCGACCCGACGACGCTCGGCGAGGCCTGGCGCTGGGCGAAGAGCTACCGCTTCCCGGAGGACGTCTGCGAGTACGCGGGCGGCGACGCGGCGGCAGCCGTCGGCGCGGCGCTCGACCCGTCCGCCGCGGCCGTGCTCGTCTACACGGTCGCCCAGCTCGTCTTCGTGCTCCGCGCCGTGTCCCGCGTCCGCGCGCACGCGAACGGCGCCGCCGCGGCGCGCGCCGCGGGCGCCGGCGCGCCGCGGCGCGAGGCCGCGCTCGCGCGGGGCTTCGGGTGCCTGCTCGCGTGGCACGCGAGCCACTTCCTCGCCCACGAGTTCGAGGCAGCGTCCTGCGGCCGCGACACCTTTTGACCGGGAAAACGAAGCCAAAATTGTCACCGGCGCGCTCGGTAGGTTCAAGACGCCCTTCGCCTGGTTCGGGTCGCACTACTTCTACGTGCTCGGCATGTGGCAGCTCGCCGCGGCGCTGAACAGCCGGCGCGCCGGCGCGTCGCGCTTCGGCGCCTACGTCGTCGGCGACGGCGTCCTCACAACCTGGGGCGGCGACTACATTGGCCTCGTGTCCGGCGTGGCATACGGCGCGCACGCGATCCGCGGCTGCGACACGGGCGACGCGCGCACGGACCGGCGCGTGCGGCGGCTCATCACGTTCCTCTCCGTCGCGTCCGCGTCGCTCTTCGGCCTCGTGGAGATCCTCTTCTGCCACCGGCTCCAGCGCGTCCGCGGCGGCTTCGGGTCCGCGCACCTCTTCATCGAGGCCTTCGTCATCTTCGCGTCGATCAGCTTCAGCCGCGCGGCGGAGACCGTCGTCCGCCGCATCCCGGCGGCGAAGGCCGTAGGAGGCGTGTAACACGACGGCCGTTAGCCAAAGTCGCCCGGCCGGAGGAAGGCCGCGAGCGTCGAGAACCAGGTCGCGCCGGCGTCCGCGTACGCGCGCTCGAAGCCCGCGGCGGTCCGCAGGCCGGCGTGCCAGTCCGCGAGGGGCAGCGGCCCCGGGCCGTGGGTCGGTGAGAAGTCGTGGACGAGGAGCACGGCGCGCGGCCTCAGAAACGGCGCGATCGCCGCGGCGTAGGCGAAGCGGTTCACGTGGTCGATGAGCACGAGGTCCGCGCGCGCGACGGCGTCGAGCGCGGCGCGCGACGGCGCGAGCGACTCGTCGCCGAGGTGGAAGGCCATGTTGGGCAGCCAGGCCCGCCTGACGTCCTCGCCGCGCGCGTCGACGACGTCGAAGGTGTCGAGCGCGCCCCCGCGGAGCCGCGCGGCGACGCCGAGGTAGAGCGACGTGACGCCGCCGGCCGTCCCGAACTCGACGATAGACGCGAGGTCCGTATGCCGCGCGAGGATCCAGTCGACCTACCATTTCTTTGGGTCGGATTTCTCGCCAAAAAACGTCGCGGGCGCCGCGTCGCGACGAAGATGCGGTCGCCGTGGCCGAACTCCTGCGCCGCGTAGGGCACGCCGAAGGACCCCCGCGCCGCGGACGTCGCGAAGAGCGTCGATACCACGTTGTAGTAGCCCGGCAGGAGGCCACGCGACGTGTCGTAGTCGTCGCGCGGGCCCGCGCCGCCCGCGACGTCGCCGAGGCCCCGCGCGCCGTAGCAGAGAGGCGCGTCCTCGAGGATGATGTAGGTGTCGCTGCCCTCGCGCCCGGACCTACCGAGTGCGTCGGTAAAGATGTTCCTTCGTTTTCCCGGTCCAAAAGCTCTCGAAATTCGTCACAGGACGCTGGCCCCGGACTCGCCCCAGGTCACCGCGTCGAGCGCGTCGTCCTCCTTGATCAGGTCGCGGTACGTCCGTGCCTTCTCCGTGAAGCGCGCGTCGCAGCCGTTCTTGAGATGCGCGAACTCGAAGGCGACGGTCCGCGATTCGACGACGACGGCGCCCGCGGCGCCCAGGACGCGCGGGACGACGCGGAGCACGACCTCGTAGGCGCCGTTCGCGTGCCACTCGACGCTCGTCGGCCGCACGGCGCCGTCCGGATCCACGGCCGTGCAGTCGCCGACGGCCCCGAGGGACGCGTGGCTCATCTGCCAGCAGACCTCGCACTCGGCGACGTCCAGGACGCCCTCGATGGTGCCTCGGACGAGCGCCTCGCGGCCGGCGACGGCGAAGCGGTCGCCCGCGGGCGTCGCGCCGTCCGGCGGCGAGATGCGCGGCGTGAAGGCGCCGCAGGGGTGTTCTCGGAACGCGAACGCGACGACGTTCGATCGGGCGGCGACGGCGCTCGTGCGCCGCGCCACGACGACGAGCTCCGCGGCGTAGGCGCCGCCGTCGTCGCCGTCGCGCGACACGGACGTGTCCGTGGACCCGTCGGCCGCGGGCGCGAGGCACTCGCCGACGACGCCCCGCGCGGGATGCGAGATCTGCCAGCAGAGGTCGCAGCGGGCGCCGTCGAAGCCGGCGTCGACGCGGCCGCGGATGTAGGCGGCGTGGCTGTAGAGCGCGTGGTGGCCATCGCCGCTCGCGACGGCGCCGTCCGGCGGGAACACCTCGGGCGCCGCGCCGCCGCAGTCGTCGGCCGCGGCGCGCGCAGCGACGAGGGCCCACGCCCACGTGCGCAGCGCCATCTTTAAGAGCTCACTCGGGCAGCGAGGGCAGCGGCATCGTACATCCAAGATGGCAACTCTCCTTCAATTACTGTGCAAATGGGCAGCCAAATCAGATGAAACCAATCATGGGTGCGATCCCAGCGTGATCCAAAACGTCGAGCTTCGCCGCCAGTCTTGGACCGACCCAGCCCAAGGCCTCCAAGGACGATGGTGGGCTGCGCGCGATGGCTGGGCCTCGCCGCCCTGGTCGCCGCGTCGTCGACGGCCGACGACGGCGCCTGCGGAGAAAAAGACGCGTGCGCCTACGCCATCGACGCGCCGCGGCTCCGCGTCACGGGCTGCGTCGCCCGCGGCCGCCCCGCGCCCATCGGCGGCACGACGGCGTTCTGGGTCAGGACCGAGGGGGGCATCGACGGCGGCGCGCCCGCGGGCACGGCGGGTTTGGGGCGCGAGCACGACGCGGCCGCGCTCCTGGAGCGCTTCGGCGCGCTCCGGGGCGGCGTCGTCGTCGACGTCGGCGCGGGCCGCGGCCGCCTCGAGGCCGCGCTCGGCGACGGCGTCGCCTACGCGGCCTTCGACGTGGCGTCCTACGACGGCGCGCCGCGGCCGTCGACCTACTGCGACGTCAACAAGCGCGAGTTCCCCCTGTTCCTGACGCCGGACGACGACCGCGACGGCGCGGACGCGTTCGCGTTCCTGGGCTCCTTCGAGTACGTGCTCGACAAGATGCTCGTCTTCCACCTCATCCGGCAGCACCGGGGCGCCCACGCCGTCTTCCAGTACAACTTCCGCGGGTCGACGGCGACGGCGACGACGGAGTGGGTCGCGCCGCTGAGCTTCCGCGCGTTCGCGGAAGCGGCGCATCTCGCGGACCTCGACGCGATCTTCTTCGAGGCGCCCGACGGGCCCGGCCTGAACTGGATGCAGTGCGTCGACAAGGGTTTGGACTGGGCCAACGCCTACGTCATGCCGCGCGACGGCAGCGCCGGCACCGACCTCGTGGACCTCGTCAAAGAAAGGCTCGCGGCGAAGCACAAGGACTCGTTCTTCGTGCGGCCGGGCGAGGTCGCGGCCAAGGTCGCGGCCGTCGTCGCGGCGGACCTGGCGCGGGGCCAGGAGCCCTGCGTGCTCGAGCTCGACCCCGACGGCCATTCCTACATCATGAACGGCGAGTTCGACCGGGCGACGTGCCTCTGGGCCCACGGCGTCGACCACGCGAACACGCGCGTGCGCGCCACGCACTGGCCCGCGACGAACGAGACGACCCTCTTCCGCAGCCAGCACGTGTCCGTCGACGAAAAAACGCCGCGGCTCGTCGCGCCGCTGGAGTTCGTCGTGCCGTCGCCGGCGTCTCTGTCCGCGTCCCTCGAGGCCGCGCGCCTCGCGTACCGGCGGGATATGGTAGGCGGTTAGGCTCGCGGTCGGGGGTGTGGGGTGGCGCCGGCGCGCCTACTTCTCGTCGGGCTGGATGTCGTCGTCGTCGGAGTCGTCGCCGGCCTTGGACTCCGCGCGGCGCTCGGGCTTCGCGGCGTCGTCGTTCGGCTCCTTGGCGCGGGACCGGCCGCCGCGGGGCCGGGACGCGCGGTCGCGGCCCTCGGCGGGCGGCGCGGCGGCGAGGCTCGCCGCCTCGGGCCGCTCCGCGCGGCGGCCGCCCGTGGCTTTGCGGCGCGGCTCCGGCGGGGGCTCGGCCTCGCGCGCGGCGTTCGCGGCGGCCGTCTCGGCCTTGAGGGCCGCGCCGGCCTCGTCGTCGGCGATGAACTCCTGGGTGACGGCCTGGAGGAGCGCGTCGAAGGTCCAGGGCTCGTTCGTCTCCTCGACCAGCGCCGGCGGCACGAGGCGGCGGCTCAACGCCGACAGGTCGATGCGCCGGCCCACGCCGCCCTTGGCGCCGCGCTGCGTCGGCGACGCCGCGCTCGGCGTGATGACGAGCTCCGCGTCGAGCTCGTGGAGCGGCGGCGGCTTGCGGCTCCGGTTCCGCGGCGCTTCCGCGACCTGCAGGGTGATGTCCTCCTCGAGCTGCTCGTCGAGATCGGGGATGATCAGGATCTCCGTGAGCTCGTCGCCGCCGCCGTTCTCGTCGGCCATGGTGCGCCGCCGGGACTTGCCCGCGTCCTCGAGCGACCCGCCGTCGCCGTCGTCGTCGTCGCCGTCGCCGCCGGCGACGCGCGACTTGCGCTCGGGCGCGCCGACGCCCCAGCCCTCCTCGACGTGCTTCCGCGCGCGCGGGGACCGGTCGCCCCGCTCGCCCTTGCTGTCGCCGCCCCGCTTCTCCTCGTTGTTCTCGTCCTCGTCGTAGGCGCGCCTAGGCCGCCGCTTCTTCGGCTTCGCGTCCGCGTCGTCGCCGCCCTTGGCCTCGCCGCCGCCGTCGAGCCAGCCGCCGCCCCCCTCGGCCTTGGCGCCGCTCATGGCTCTCGTGAGGACGCGAGCGCCGCGACGGAGCGCCGGCGGCGGCGACGGCGGGCAGCTATGCGCGAGGTTCGAATGGGGCTGCCGGCACTGGCAGCATCCACGGGGCACGATCCACTGCACGGCACCGTGCGGTGCAAGGTGCAAGCATCCCGGGAGTTTTTGGCATCAGCTCCGCCACGATTGGGCTGCAGTACTCCGAAGCCTGCGCCAGCAGAGCGCGTTCGGTCGTGACCCGCGACCCGGCGGCCCTCGCGCGCGGCCCGGCGGCCCGGCGCGAAAGCCGCCCCCGCTGCCCCGACCGCGAGCCATGGGCCGGTCAGCCGCCGCGGCCCTCGCCGCCCTGGGCCTCGGCGCGGCCCACGAGGTCGTGGTCTACGAGTACGTCGCCGACAAGCTGAGCTTCGCCGAGGTGGGCGCCTCCCGCGACCCCCTCCCGGAAACTCGTCGCCGTCCGAAACTCGTCCGTCGAACCCGTAGGCCGAGGCGAACTGCGCGGCGAAAGGCGGCAAGATCGCGGACGTCGACGACCCGACGACGCTGGCGCAGATCTACCAGGAGTACGTGCCGTCGACGTCCTGCGCGCCGGCGTGGATCGACGCCGTCGACGAGGAGGCCGAGGCCGCGGCGGCCCGCGCCGAGGAGATCGCCGAGCAGCTCTGCCTGATGGACGTCGAGGAGTACGCGGCCGACGACTGCGCGTACATCGGCCGCAAGTGCGTCTACGGCCACGAGGACATCCCGCCCTGGGGCAACGACGTGTCCATGGTGAACTGCAACGCGGGCATCCCCTCCATCTGCGAGTACCCGCCCGCGACGGACAACCACGACCACCTGCCGCGGCGCACGCGGGACGCGCTCGAGCGGCCGCCGCCGGACGTCGCGCGCGTCCGGCGGTCCCTCGTGGTCGTCGACGGGCACGACGATCGCGCGCCGCGTCTCTTGGAGGACGACTGCCCCGGGGGCTGGCTGAGCTACGGCGGCCGCTGCTACCAGGCCGTCGGCAACAACCAGTACTTCAGCCAGTGCCTGGAGACCTGCGCCTGCGCCGGCGGCACCCTGGCCTGCCCGCGGGACAAGGGCACGAACACGTTCCTGAAGAACATGGTCAAGCCGCCGAAGAACCGCGCGTGGCTCGGCGTGTCCGACGCGTTCTCCGACAAGGACGGGTCCTGGCAGTGCGTCGGCGACGGCGAGCTGAACCGCCTGACGTACACGAACTGGGACAACTCGCTGGGCAACGGCATGGACCGGGGCGCCAACTGCGCGTCCATGGACGAGGACGGCACGTGGGACGACGACTCCTGCAACGGCGACTACAACAACGACGACTACTCGTGCCTCTGCGAGCACGGCGGCGAGACGGCGGAGCGCTTCGTCTACCACTTCGCCGAGCAATTGATCGAGCTCAACGAGTGGCAGGACTGGCGCTTCACGGCCGACGGCGAGTCCAAGGTCTGGCCGTGCTGCGCGGGGCGGGAAAGGGTGCGAAATTCAAAGGCTCTCTTATCTCGGCCGTTTTCCACTCGTTTTGGCTGATTTTTGGACGAGCGATCATCTCTCGGAGCGCTCTCAAGCGTAGATGCTCTTTTACGGAACGCGCGCGCGCGGAAAACGCACGTTGAAGCGACGTTGAATCACCCTTCGCCTCAGGTGCTGCGCGACGTGCCAGAACGGCTGCGGCGGCGCGGGCTCCGACGAGTGCATGGACGCGGCCCACAGCGCCGTCATCGACGGCGTCGCCTACGGCGTCTGCGACAGCAACGGCGTCACGCCCTACGACGGCCAGCCCTGCCAGCGCGAGTGCGAGGAGGCGCGGTCGTGGTCCGACTTCGAGTTCGAGGAGGTGCGCCTCATGCCGCGCGGGTCGCCCTGCGGGCCGGGCTGGGCGCTGCCGGGCACGGCGGAGTCCTGCCGGTCTGCCCTGGCCCTCGTGGGGCGGTCCATGCAGACCGCGGGGCCGCTGGCGGGCTCCGCGCCGACGTGCGCGTGGTCGCTCGCGGACGGGTCCGCGGGCGCGTTCCTGCGGGACACGACCTGCGACGAGGCGACGGCGGCGGACTGGGACCGGGGCGCCGTCTGCGTGCCCTGCGACGACTGCGACGGCGTCGGCAGCCGGTGCGCGCGGCTCCGCGTCGACGACCCGCAGAAATACGCGTACGCGTCCGCGGCCGACGACGCGTCCGCCGGGTCCTCGAAGAAGGACGGCGGCCAGACCTGCAACCTCCACTGCCTCCTCCTCGTGGGCGTCATCTTCATGTTGGTGTTGTTGACGACGTGCACGTGCATCGGCAACTACTTCCTCACGAAGGAGCGGCGCAAGTTCTCACCGACGCGCGGCAACCGCATCCCCAACGCCGTCTGGTCCGACGTCGAGCTCCAGGACGCCCACGCCATCCCCGCGGAGGCGCTCGAGGTGGGGTCCGTGCAGATGGTCGGCCGGGGCGGCTACGTGGCCGCGACGGCGGCGGACCCCGCGGACACGGCGTCGGACGCGGCCATCGCCGCGGCCGTCGGGCGCATCGACGCCGCCTGCGACCGCAGCGGCGACGACCCGGAGGCCGGCGCGCTCAAGGCCGACGGCGTCGAGGTCGACGACGGCGGCGCGCCCATGCCGCCCGTCGCGGACGTCGCGCCCGTCGTCGCGTCCGAGGTCTCCGGCGCCGAGATCTGCATCTAGCCCTCCTCTTTTTAATTTTAAGCTGCCTATCGTCTAAACTTGGGTGCTGCGGCGCGCGGCCGCTTTTTTGCGGATTTGCGCTGCTCGATCCCTTCAATAAGACTTCACCGTCAGCCAGGCCGCCGTCCACAGCAATGAGCATCGTCCCAATGAACACCACCTAGACATGGACTCCAACGACGCGCTGATGCAACAGGACGTCACGGATGCTGCGCAAGAGGAGCCGGACGCCGCGCCGGACACGCCGCGCAGCGATCACAGCCTGAGCATCGACCCGCCCAGCGACCCCGAGCCGCAGCCCTGGCGCGCGCCCTGGACCCAGCTGCGATGCTTCTACGGGCGCCTCGGCGGCGCCTTTGGCTGGCGCTACGTGGCGACGGTGTCGCTGACCTACGGCGTGAACCAGGGCGTCGGCGAGGCGCTGCTCTTCGGCGCGCAGAAGTACTTCTTCCTCGACGACCTCGGGCTCAGCGCCGCGCGCGCGAGCCAGCTCGACGGCTTCTCCAACATCCCTTGGCAGATCAAGGCCGTCTACGGCATGGCCTCCGATAGTTACGCGCTCTGGGGCGGCCTGCGCAAGGCGCCCTACATGGTCTGCGCGGGCGTCGGCGGCGTGCTGGCCGCTTTGGCGCTCGGCGCGGCCCGCACGCGCAACGTCGGCGCCGTCGCGCTGCTCCTCGTCGTCGCGAACCTGTCCATCGCGTCGCCGGACGTCATGGTCGACGGCGCGACGGCGGAGCGGTGCCGGACGCACCCAAAGCTCGCCGCGGATCTCCAATCGTTGAGCTGGGGCAGTCTCTACGCGACGTCGCTTTTGGCGAACGTCGCCATGGGCTACCTCGTCCAGCCGGACGTTCTAGGAGCGCGCGGCTGCTTCGGGCTCATGACGCTGACGTCGCTCGCCGTGCTCCTCCCCGCGGCGGCGGGCTGGCTCGGCGAGGTTCCCGACGCGGCGCGGCCGGCGCGCGCGCGGCGCCCCCGAAGCTCGACGCGCAGCGGTCCGCGGTGTTCCGCTGCGCGGGCGCGACCTGCGCGACGTCGCTCGCCATCGGGAACCTGCAGGCGTTCTACCGGCGCGACGACGCGGACGCGGTCGTCGGCTCGCTGACCGTCGGCCTCGGCCTCTGCCTCTCGCTCTTCATCTTCCGCGGTTGAAGACGATCTCGCGGGACCTCGCGTCGGCGGCGGTCTTCATCTTCCTCAGCGGCGCGCTGAGCCCGGCGACGGAGGTCATGTTCGCCTGGTTCCACGACGACGAGAAGGACGACGGGAATTGCGCGAAGCGGTGCGCCGAGGGCGACGAGGACTGCGGCTGGGCCCGGGACCGCGGCTACCCGTGCATCGGCAGCGTCTACTACGGCTACATGCGCGCGACGGGCCGCGTCTTCGGCCTCGTGGGCATCATTCTGTACAACAAGTACCTGAGCCGGTGGCCGTACCGGCGCGTCTTCGCGCTCGGGTACCTCGTGACGTTTTTGGCGAACCTGTTGGATCTGGTCTGGGTGACGCGGACGAACCTGGCGCTCGGCCTCGACGACGAGTTCTTTTTGCTGGGGTTGGAGGTGGTCCAGCCCGTCGTGTCGCGCCTCGCGTCCATGCCCATGTTCGTGCTGGCCGCGAAGCTGTGTCCCGCGAACGTCGAAGCGACGCTCTTCGCGCTGCTCATGGGGCTGTCGAATTTTGGGAGCGTCGTCGGCATCTACAACGGCGTCGCGCTGCTCCACCTCTTCGGCGGCGTCGACGCGCCGGAATTCCCGCGCCTGTCGGCCTTCGTGGCGACGCGGACGCTGTGCTACCTCGCGCCGTTCGCGCTCGTGTTTGTCTTGGTGCCCGCGGGCGGGCCGGACGACGACGCGGACGACGACGACGGGCCCGCGGCGCTCGAGCTCGTGGGGACGGACAGCGCGGAGGAGCGCGCGCTCGTGTAATATTTAGTCAGTCCAAGGAGAAATTAGACCTTACTCGTAAGGCTGTCTGCCTGTCGCCCCCCGCAACGCTAACCCCGCGCCGAACCTGCCGGCAGCCTAACGTGCGGCTAAGTGTGCGGCTCGGCTTTAAGCAAGTCTTTAAGCTCGGCTGGTACCGGCCGGAGAAGCCAGAGATGCCGGCAAGATCCGCCCGGTGGGTGGGCGCTGGGTGGCGCATCTGACTTGCCCGAGCAGCCCGCTATGGAGACTCCGAAGGTGAAGGCTGAATTCGACCAAGCGGACTACGACGCGCTGCTGAAGCATTACTACGAGCCCATCGTGCAGCACAACGTCGAGCTGCCCGGCGGCCGGACGCTCCGGCGGCAAACATCGCCGCCGCGAATTAATCAAGAATCACCTGGTTTCAGGGCGCTGCGGAAGACGATTGAGGGTCTCAAGAAATCAAACGCTGTCAGCAAGATCTACCAGCTGCTCCGCGAGCTCAACGCGTGGGAGACGCGACCGCCGTCGCTCGGGGGCGCGCTGCCGTCGTGGCAACGCGGCTTGGCGGAGGAGAGCGCCGTGACGGAGACGATCGACCTCACGGCGGAAGAAACCGTTATAGATGTCGACACGTACATCATCGACGTGTTGCTCGTGGGCGTCGTCCGGCCCAAGCCCGACCCCGACGGCGGCGCCCCGCGCATGGTCGCGGTCGCCGAACCGGCGCCGTTCCAGGTAAAGCGCGAGGCTGACGGAGGCGAACAGTCCGGCGCCGAGACCGACGACTACGAGGCCGCGCCCCTGGTCGCTTCTCAAGATGGCGACTCTCAAGATGAAGAACCTCGGCCGCGCGCGGCCGGTAACGCCGCAACGGCGCCCACGCCCGCGTCAGCCACGATGTCGGCGCGCTACAATCCGGAGCCGCCCGCGGGCGCCATGCTTGACAAGGCGGTGGCGTGGGACGGCGAATGGTACCACAGCGGTTCCAAGAAGCTCCGGCCGCTGTGGGTGGTGAAGGATCCGGACGGCTTCCGCGTGCGCTGGAGCGACCGCACGGAGTGCGTCGTGGACAAGGACGAGGTGCGGCAGCACGGCAAGCGCATGAAACCCGTCCCCGCGTCGCCTGCGCCCGCGCCCACGCGGGGGAAGCCCGCGGCTGCCAAGGCACCATCCAAGAAGGCGACCGTCGCCAAGGCCGCGCCGACCAAGGCGAAGACAAAGGCGCCGGTCAAGGCCTCGGTGACGAAGAAAAAGGCGTCCAAGCCCAAGCGCAAACCAACGATCGAGTTCCTCGAGTTCCGCGTCATCCTCCATTCCTTCGACGAGGAGGACGACGCGGACGAAGAGGAACTCATTCGGGTCGCCATGCCCGGCCTGCTACGTTGCGACAATGAGCACAAGTTCCGGGCGCGGGCGGCGAAGGAGAGCGACTGGTTCGACATCAACGAGGATCAGGCGCTCGACGTGGGATGGAACATCGGCTTGGCCGACGAGTTCGAAGAGCTGAATCACGAAGAGCTGGGGGGCGAGGTTCAGTGGGGTGACTGCGCTGACTCCATCGAGGCCTTCGAGCGGGGGGAAGATCGCTTGGACAAGGGATGCTCCTACCTCTGGTGGTGGGGGATTGGGCTACAGACGCGGCGAAAACCGGGCTACACACCGCCGCCGCAAACGCCGGGCACGCGCGAGCGGGCGGTCCGCGGCACGGTGCAATTCCGGGTCCTCGACGCCGAATTCCGGGTCCCCTCCAAGGCAGAACTTCGGGACGGCGACGCCTGTCGCGTTGACTACTGGCCCACTCGGTCACACTGGTTAGTATAGTAATTTACATGCCGTGGTAACGTACATGGAGTACACCCACGAGTCACCGCGTCCCGTTGGCCCACTTGGCGTCGGACTCGTTGTGGACGACGGCGACGAGGTCGCGCTGGGTGTCGCTGAGGCGCATGGCCGCCCGGTAGGCGAGGTCGAGGCGCCGCGCCTCCGGCGACTCGGAGAACTGGGCCGCGGCGGGCCCCGCGCGGTGCTTCTTCGCGTGCTTGGACGGGATCACGGGCCGGAGGCCGATCAAATCCGCGATGGCCGCGGCGACGCGGTCCAGCGACCCCTTGTCCGTGGACCCCCAGTCGAGCTCGACGAGCGCCGCGACGTCGGGCGATGAGCGCTTGAGCACCTGCCACCGCGCCTCGACCTCGTCGACGAACCAGAGCGCGCGCTGGAAGGAGACAAAAGTCCGCTCCCAGAGGTCGCTCGCGTCGGCGCTCGCGCCGCAGGACGTCGCCTCCGAACTTTTCCCCCGCGCGGGCAGCCGCAACAGCACGCGGTCGCAGTTGAGCCAGGGCGCGAACCAGAACCAGCCCGGGCTCTCGCGCTCGAGCGCCCCCCGCACCTTCTCGTAGGCGTAGTTCTCGCGCCAGGAGTCGGCGGTCTCGTAGCGCGCGCGCCGGATGCGCACGACGGCGACGTTCCGCTCGGCCCGGATGGCGCCCGCGTACCAGTAGAGCGTCTCGTGGCCGAGCACGAGCGCGACCCGCCGTTTCGCCCACGTGGCCTCGTAGCTCCGCCGCACGAGGGCGGCCTCGTCGTCGACGGACCGGTCGCAGCCGTACCACTCCGTGAACTCGAGCTCGTGGGGCACGGTCTTGAAGTGGGCCAGGTCCACGTGCGCCTCGAAATCCGCGCGGCTCGCTTTGGTGCCTTTCGCAAAGTCCGCGGGCACCTGCTCGAAGAAGAAGTTCACCGTCGACTTCTTGCAGGCGCCGTCGGTCCAGGACGCCGCCGACGTGAGCGTCGTCGTCCCCACGTGGCCGTTGGAGAAGCCCATGACGAGCGCGGGGCGGTCGCCGCACGACAACGCGCGCCGCTGCGCGGCGGACGCGTTCGCCGGCGCCGCGGCCGTCGACGCATTGTTTGAAGCCGGCGCGCCGGGCGGCGCCGGCGGGCTCCGGTTCCGGCGGATGGGCACCCAGATGCGGGGCTGTTCCGCCGCCGTCGGCGCCGGGGCAGCGTGGCGCCAGAGTTCGAAGTAGTGGACGGCGTAGATGGCCCCGACGATGACGCCGGGCGGCAGGAACAGCGCGACGATGAGCGACAGGAGCGTGAAGACCTTGAATTTGCCGCGGCCGCCGCGCGCCATGTCGTTCGCGCAAGTATTATTCTAGCAGACCTCCATCGGCATGTGGCGGCGCTTCAGGATCCCTGCAACGGCAAACAAATTACATGGCGAGCGCGGTCTTGACCACGACTGTGTCAAGGCCGCGAGGCCGCCCGGCCGCTTCCGCTTCCGCCGCCGCACGCGCGTGACGTTCGCCGCCGGCCGCGGCCGCGGCGCCGCGCGGGTTCTCGGCGCCGCCGCGGCGAGGGGCTCGCCGCGCGCGAGCCGGTCGACGCAGGTCTCGTCGAGCGCCGCCCGGAGCGCCGCGTTGCCCGCGTCCGTGAGGTGGAGGCCGTCCTCGCGGAGGTAGCCGCCCCAGTGCGCGCCCCACTGCATCTGGCCCCGGACGTCGCAGAACGGGATCTCCAAGCGCCCCGCGAGCGACCGCTGCCGCGCGTTGAGGTGCTCCGTGTGCACCTTGTGCGCCGGCAACAGCGACTGGAGCACGACCGTCGCCCCCGTGCACCGTTTCATGTATTTCAAAGCAAAGGCCGCGATGTCAACGTGTCCGCCGCGCGGGCCGCCGGTGCTGCACGTCGTGACGCCGAGCAGCACGAAGACGAGCCGCGGCTTAGCGGCGCAGG